CTAAAATTTAAATAATATCGGCTACCTTTTATCGAATCGATATCTGGTTTCATCTCCTAATTCGTTCTGTTCAGTTTCTTCGAAGAATGAATCATCAGAAAAAGAATCATTCTGATTTGAACCTATATTATCTCTTACTTCCTCAGGATATACTCTATTTTTTTTAATTGATTGTGGCAAACTATGTAAGCTACCGATTCATAACTAATCCATACCTCTATAATCTGCTAGGTCTTAAGCCCCTGCTTCTAGGCAAAGAGGAATGGCTTATAAATGTCCCTTATTTTAGAATACTTCTAACTTAGGGGATGATTTCCTCCTAAAAATCTTATGGAGTTTTACTGGAACGCCCATTACCACTCACTAAAGCTTGACTTCCACTTTTATTTGTTATATTTTTCACAGTTTTTTAATCCGATGGGCTAGAACTGCCGGGTCTCTACTTAATCCATTGATTCCCAACACTCTCTCTATCTCTATCTCGATCAGAATCTAAGCTTAATCGTAACCTCTGTTTTTAAGGCTGTTATTATTCTTCTTCAATTTCTTAAATTAGTTATAATTGTTCTGGGTTCTTCAATTTATTTATTAATATTCTACCATGATATGCAATGATTAATTACTTGACAACTAAGGGTTGGGTTCGTGATTATAAGGAGTCTGACTCTAAGTGTATTAACTAACATGATCTTAGTTCATTAATTTAATTAAAATAAATGGCTGAAGACCTTAATCATTTTGCTAAATATCAAACCTTTTCTTCCTATTCAACAATATTTAACGAGATTGACACTCCTTCCAAAATTTAGACTTTGAGAAGAAACCCATTAGAATATTACACAAAGAGAGGTTTGGATCCACCAAAAACAGGTTATGGTGATCCAGCAAAGATCCTTGAACATTAAGAACCTTAAAAATAAGAATAAGCTAAAGAAACAACCTCTGTGGGAACAGTTCATCACTTTGCAAACGAAATAAATCGTTTATGCATAGAAGTTGGCAAAATAATATTGAAACCTCAAGCAATCAAAGATCAGCTAAACCATAAAAAGAAAAAATCAGAGGAATAATTCTAAAATCTTCCTTCAAGCGACATCAAAATATCATCACTTAAATAAATTAACTCATTTAATGATCTTAACCCATAAATCCAATAGTAGAACCCCTAACAACTGATTTAACATTAATAATAAGATTTGCCAGCTGATGATTAATCAGTTAAAACTAATGGTTTGAAGCCAGAGATCAAAATGGTATTAACACCATAAAATGAATAAATAGATTCGTTACAACAATAGATGTAAATTTCTTAACAAAGAGACGAATCCCTGTATCAGGCTCAAAAGAAAACAGTTCAACAGTTATACCAAAGAAGTAATAAATCAGGTATTTTCTTTTGGTTATCCTTATAGTTTTTTCTGTTGAGGAATAGTCCAAGAGAATGAAACTCAATCAGAAACCTTATGTGAGTTCTCTTACTGAATTGGCACAACATTAGGACTAGGAAATTTAGAAGGCAATTAAAATTTTGTAAGGTGGAGTTAAAAAATCTTGAGAATGAACATGTAATTATGTAACTTTTTTAAAAAATAAAATCATAAAAAATAGATTAGGTTTATAGAATTCATTATTTATATGCAAATTGCACCAATTCTTAAAATTTATCCTCTCTTAATTCTTAGAAAATTTATTATACATTCTCATAATTTTTGGCTAACAATAATTTAGGTTTATATTTATTTAAAAATCCAACACATAAAATAACTAAAATTTCTAGGCTATCATGCCCAATTATTTGATCATAAATAGTTAAAATATGTGGAGGATCCATGTCTCCAACAAAACAATAAATTAATTGATGTATGATCAATTTTAAAGTATCACAACCAATTACCTTTAAATGGTGGAATAATTTAGGAGATCTTGTACTTACAATTTCTTCTATTTACATACATAGAGATAAAATTGAGTTGTATTCAGAAGAAATAGCATGCAAAAAGCAAAAGTATCGACAAAAGAATTCCTTAAATAAGGCATAAATTATATGTATTTTTGTAGAGAGATAACATAAAGGCGCAACGTATTTGGAAATGTTTTTGAATGGAAAGAAACCTGTAACTGGCAATTGAAATTCTGCATGCTCTTTTTTCATCCCGTTTTATAATTGAATCTAAAAGAAAAATTAATTAATATACCCTTATATTTTCTTTGATTGTTTTGTCCCTAATGAAGCATTTTAAACAAGTTAGAATTTACTCTTGAAATACAAAATAGAAGGTATCTTCAGAGATCTCATGTCCATCTATTTCTAGTAATTCATCAAAGAACAATTAATTTGAACATTCCTTTTAAAGTTTTGCGAAGTTTTACTGTAAGACAGTTTCTTAATGATCAAATTCAAAATATTTTAAGTATAATAGACATCTCTCTCCGTTGGGCACATATGTTTATGCTATTTTTTCTAATTCAGTATCTAGATGCTCATTTTCAATTTACTTCCGAATCTTATTAATTTTCTCTTCGGGCAATTCTTCTTAAAGCAATATATACTAATATTTGTCTAATATTTATTATGCGGACTTTAAAGGTATATTGATATTTAACAGCTTATTTGACTGGAATTGCACATTTTAGTATAGAACACTAGGTTATTATTATTTAAAAGTTTATAAAAAGGCCAATAGGTTCTTTTCATCATAAATGTATAACTTTGAATCAGTATTGGTGTCATCCTCTTCCTAATTCTTTGCTTTTTAATGAACTATGTCTAAATTTTTAAATAATAATTCTGTCCATTTGATTTTGGAAGTGTTCAGAAACTCAATTTGATCTTCCTTTAGTGTTTCTCTCTTCTTAGATTTTTTGAGAATGTGAGATATCAATTTAATTAATTAGTCCTCAATTTCACAACTCTGCGCAAATTTTTGAATATCATTGATTCCAATTTTCTGTTAATCACTAAACCCTTATTTAATCTAGATAGACTATTAAATACTTTCTTTTTTATATCCCAGAATTATTTTTAGGACTTAAGTTTCATCAATATTTCTTAATTGTCTAATTATTACATGGAACAATTAATTTATATTACAATTTTTTTTAAATTGTAAACTTTTATTTTTACTTTTTTCTCATTTCAACAGAAATGAATATAAAAATAATTATTTCTTTTAAAATTTGTATACATCATAAATATCAAATTTCTTCTCCAGCTTATTATCTCAAGGCCAATTATTCTCTCAAGGTTCTCAATTCCTTATTTACTAATCCGATTGTTTATGAAACTACATCTCTGTCTGATGATCTTGCAGATCTGGCATCTTAGTAATCTTAAACTGCCTCCTCGCATTAGGTGAATCTGTCATGTCTGTCAGCAGAAACGTTTTCAATTCTTTAAACAGTTGTATCAAGTGAAGCTTCAACTTGAGCTATGATGTCATTTAAAGCAGCCAAATCAGAAATAGCGTTAGCAAGAGCTGAACCAGCGACATTCAAAGCAATGACGACGAAATTTCTTGATTTCTTATAGGCTTCTACTCTCTTGTCTTCAGCGAATCTCAATAAAGATAATGAGTCAGAAATTTTGGCCAATAATTCATCAGCTAAATCAATGATCTTTTAGACGGCACCAGCATCAGCTAATTATTCAACCTTTGAGGCAATTGTTGCGAAGGCTTTGAATAACTTGCTGTAACCCTTTCTGTGTTAAAATTTGGAAGCCTTCTTGGCAGATGTAGTAAAATGTTTTTAGATCAAATTAGCGACATCCTTGGTGAATTTATGAGGTTATTTTGCGGCTTTTCCTTTTTATACGAAAGATTCATGTTCAATGTTATCAGCGAAGAGTCTTCTAGCTTCAGCAATGATTGCTGTTGCTTCTTAATGTTCCAACACTTTCTCTTCAAAATCTTCGTGTTCCTCAGCTCTTTAAGCATCGAGTTCATTCAAATCCTTTTAGTATCCCTTTACTTCAGCAGACTTTTAAGCTACTAATCCTTCTAAGATTGATCTTTATGGGTATAATTATCCTTCTAATCTTGCTTCAAGATCAACCTTCTTTCTGTTAGATTCAGCCAAATCCTTATCGAATGCTGAGATATCCTAAGGATAAACATATTTTCATACGACTGTGCAAGAACCTTAGTACTCTTAGTTTTTAGCATCGTCTTCTTTTTATTCAGCTACGTATCTATCTTCCAAATCTGTCAATGTTGATACTAATCTATCTAATGGGTCTCCTGTTTAGAGTTCTAACCAGATAGTATCAAACAATGTTCTTCCGAATGGGGACTAGTCTATCTTTTTAATTGTATCGATGACATCAGATTATGTTGATGAAACTAATGCAATAAGTGCCAAAGCCAAAATTATGGTCTTCATTAATAATAATATTAAAATATTTCATCCAGCATCTACATTATGAATCAAGAATTCAGCAAATATATTCGTTTTTAGGAAATCGATTTGAAATTCTTGACAAATACTCAAAATTATTAAATTTTTATTAATTTCTAATATCACACATTAAATAATTAAAAAAGATATTAAAAAAGTGAATTAACGAAAGGAAATTTATTTAGCAACTGACACATTATTTCATTTTAATTATTATTCTGAAAAATAATAAAATAAGAATCTTCAAAATTAAGTTTAAGTAAATTTGTTCTCTCTCAATCCCCCAACCTTACTCTCAATCAGATTGCTTACCTAATTTCAAAGGATTTCTTTAAAACTAGTTTAATCGAAATCTTTTTTCTGATTAAAGAATCAGGCATTTATATTATAATGTTATATAAATATCATGATAAATTAATGAGTAAAGCAGAATTTGATAAATTTAAGATTAAAATTATTATGAACTAAAAGGAATTAAAAATTGAATTAAACGTGTTAGATTGATATAGAATTACTAAGTTATTATATTAAACTTATTTATTTATATATTCTAGGAAATTATTTAAAAAATTCTAATATACACATCATTAATATTAATAATCTAGAATTTTCTAATGTAATACTTACTTACACTTCTTTTATTCTCTTTAGTCCTAGGATAATAAGTGCCAGAGGAGAATGGAGTTTTAATATTGAGTGACTAAAACTTTGAATATGTTTTGAAAAAATATGAATTTGTCTTAGTGGATTTCTATGCACAATGGTGTGGACATTGGTATAAATCAAAAATATAATTTAGTCATCATTTAGCTCCAATATTTGCTTCATCTGCAAGACAAGTAAGAAATCAGAATGTTTAATTTGCTAAAGTAATAAACTTGATAAATTTAAGATCAATTGTCCTTAATATGAGCATTTGTGTAGAAAATATTAAGTTACTGGATTCCCTACCTTAAAATTATTTGCGGATGGATAATTATAGATGGAATATCCAGGTGAAAGAACAGAAAAAGCTATTGTGGATTGGATGAGAAAGAAAACAAGTAAACATTTTATTTATGAGTATTTGCTTAGATAAGGGATCTATTGAAGCTAAATCATTAGACTAATTAAAGAAGATCTCAGAATCTCCAAATTTAGTCATGGTATTCTTTGGTGAATAGAAAGAATCTTATGAATTTATGTAATACTTTTCATTCTCACAGTAATCTAAATTTATTATGTTTTTAGAAAGAATAAACATATCCCAGCTATGCACACATTTAATTAAAATTTTGCTAATGAAATGAGAGCTCAAGTACCCAGTATCGTTATTTATAAACCATATGATGAAAGAAAGGCTGCAATTTATGATAATTTTGAGATTTCTTTCATAGAGCAATTCATCAAAAAGCATTCTTATCCAGTCTTGATGAATTTCGATATATAAGTAAAGAATAAAGAAATAAATTATTAGACAGCAAAAAGAATATTTAAAGGGGATTAACCAACACTTTTCTTATTATAAAATTCATAAACAAATTAAGCAGAAAAGCATTTAAGATTAGCTTTATCTAAAATCAAAGATTAAATTTTAATTTGCATTGCTAATACAGATAACAAATATGGACTGAGATTGATGTAATATTTTGGCATTTAAAATGGTAAAAAATAGTTATTATAGTTTAGATTATCTCCCTTAAATTGTGGCATTTAATCCAATTTCTGAGTCTTTTAATTTATTGAGTGAAATCACAAAAGATGGAATCATTAATTTTACATAATAATTCCTAGGTCTCCATTAGAATACATAAAAATAAGACTTATGATATATAATTTATTATGTTTTTAATAAGTGTTAATACAAACATTGATCTTTATGATTAAATATTTCTAATTCAACTTTAAGCTAGCCTCCTTTTCAAAATATTTATTTTGGATTTAACACTATATACATAGATCCTAACACAATTTAGATCTTTAAGTCAGAATTTTGACTATGTCTTTTTTAGTATTTTTCTTGATTTGAATTAGTAAAATAAGTATAAAAAGATTTAAATTACTTGCTTAGATTTAATAAATAAAATTATAAATCATGGGTGCTTGTCAAATAAGATCTAAACTAAAATCTGAATAACAAAAAAGAGTTGAAAAAAGAAAGAAATTACTTTATAGCAAATCAGTACTTAGCGGCACCGTTAAGAACTACACTTTTGAAAGTTAACAAACAATAAAAACTGAACAACCATCCTAGAAAGAGTAAGTTTGCGGTATCTTAATCTCTACTCAAAACTTCAATAAAGTCTATACAATCTTAAACTAATATAAACCAATAAGAAGTATGTGTTTTTAAAAAGTCAAATAGTTGGTGATGACAAAATTTTAACGATCCAACATAATATTAATGCTCAAGTGAGACATGCTAGATTTATAGGAAGATCGTAAGAGAATGATTCATGGATAGAAATCTTTTTAAAATAAAATTTTGTACCATTATTTAATAATATAGAATCATCCTAATATAATAACGGTTTTCGAGTATTTCTCATCAGAAAAAGATTACCATATTCTAATTTAGGAATAGATTTTAGGTATTTCTTTATGTGAATACATTAAACCAAGTGAATAAATTAAAGAAAATGTGGCAGCCTAGTTAATTGTTTAAGTATTATAAGCTATCTAATACCTACACCAAAATGACATAGTACATGGAAGAATATCTCAAAATTCGTTCTTTTTTGCTCAAGAAAATAATTTCACTAAACTAAAGTTAGTTGATTACAAAGAAATGTACTTGAGACCTGAACTAAATCTAAATTCAATAATATTCATCCCTCCTGAATTAATCACTTTTATTTAACAAGAAAAGTTTTCAAAAGAAGGCGATATTTGGGCTTGTGGAATCTTAAGTTACATTATTTTAAATAGTGCATCTCCTTATTCTAAATGCAAAACTATGTAAAGTATGCAAAGTCAAATAATGAGAGGAACTCTTTTCTTTGAATCTACAAGCTTTGATAAAATATCTAATCCAGGAAAATGTTTTATTAAAAAAATGTTAGCTAGATTATTAACACAACGTCCAACAATCTAATAAGCTCTTAATGATTAATGGATTACATAAAATACAGTATCAAAGAAAACTAATACCAAAGACACCCTGAATAAGCTTTCTTAAATTAAATAAGCTAACAAACTATAGTTTCATATTATGATTCACATGATCAATGTATTTTTTAGTTAGACTTTCTCATAATTAATTAATACTTTCAATGAAATTGATGCAAACAAGGATGGAAAAGTTAACATGGAGGAAATGATGGTGGCGTACAAATCCTTAGGTAGCGGGGATGATGCAAAAGACGAAGTCAAACAAATGTTCGAAAAACTGGATACTGATGGAAGTGGGGATATTGATTTTTACGAATTTCTAATAGCGATCACGGATCGTTAAGCTCTATTCACAATCTAAAACTTATAAATGACCTTTTAGACTCTCAACATTAGTAAAAATGGAAGGTTAACAGAATAGGAATTATCTTATGCTCTTTAAATTCCTATAGAGACCGTCGAAGAAAATCTTCCTAAAACTCATATTCAAAAAAATGGAAAAGTATATTATTTTACAATTTTTAGTGCACTTTAGATTTGAGATCATTTAAGGAGTTTATGCTAGACTTATTATGATATGAACCTTTTTAAAAAAGTAAATCTTATTATCATAAATCAATCTTTAAAATTATAAATCAATCATTTTCTTTATAATAGTTTCTCTTTAATTATTAAAGATTATCTGTTTAGAATCAAGAGGTCATCATTTCAGTTAGTTGAATTTTATATGTCTTTAATTTTTATTTGATTAAAACAAAACAAACAAGTACGTATTTGAAGGAGATAACCTTAAGAAAATTAAATAAATCAAATTTCAATAATCTGAAAAGAGTATAATTAAAATCTAAGTTAGATTTCAAATTTAATTAAAAATATAGAGTGTTTTCGCAAGTTGCATTATTTATTCAAGATTCAAAGTTTATTAAAAGTAAGAGATTTGATGTCTTTATATTCTTTTATATTAAGCTAATAAACTTATATAATCTATAAAATACAAAAAAATGTGTAACTTAAGCTACCTTTGAATCCGGCAGTTGTTGGTTATGTCTAAATAGAAAAAATTAGGTTAAACTAAGAATCAAAACATAAAATAGATTAAAATTTACTGCATTAAAAAAATTTGTAATTCACTTATAATTAATTATAACAACATTAATGGTTTCTTATGAACTTAAGAATCAAATATTAAACTTATACTCTATAATATTCAGCCTCCCTTATCCACGAGACACTTTTTAATAAAGTAACTCAAATTATTACTACATAATATGATTCTATGAAAGAAATAACATCAAAAAAAAGGGATATTTTAGAATTCCAATTAAATTAATCAATAACTAAAACATCTTGTATAGACATACTTATATATTGATTTCATCAAAATCATAAGAATCTTGTATGTATTGGAGTGAAATTGGATTGTATTGATTTTGATAGATGTTGTGATAATAAAAAGAAATTATAAGAAAATTACTCACTTATGATTTTATTAAAAAATGACCAAACAATATGAAGAAATTTAAAGAATGTAGATGAAGATTTGATTTTTCTTAGAGTTTCAATAGGACAATCCAAGTTAAAATTATTAGTAATATATAGGCTTGTACTTCGTTAATAATGGTGAGTCATCTCAACTCTAAATAGAAACATTTTTAACAATAATAATATGCCTTTAACATCAATAGAGTTTAATAGATTAGATTTATTGATCTCTACAGATCATATATAATACTCTATTTGGACAAAATTATGGAGAAGTTATTGAAGTGTTTTTAAAAATGTTGATTTTTAGAGAAATGAATTTTTGGATTTCATGAGATCATATTTTGAATTGCATCTGTTTATTTATTCTTAATGAATTCAATAAAGACAAGATGGGTTTAAAATCAAATGAGGAAACTAAAATAGATGAAATTGAATTCATAGATTACAATTATGTAAAAGTGAACTTTGATTCAACATCCGAAATTCTAAGTATAATAACAGTATTATATGGCTACGTTTTTCTTAATTCATGCATTCTCTTGTCTGATTAATTTATATAAAATAAACTCATTTTCCTATTTGATATAACAAAGTCATTTTTAATAAAATTAATAAAATGAACCAAGATAGGATGACAGAAGAAAAAGCGAAAAAAAAAACTAAAAGATTTGATAAACATAATCAACCTATTCTCAAAGGAGTGTCAGCAAAAGCTGTCACATTTAGAGATTAGATTGAAGGCATTCCAATTTAAGATATTTATATAGTTGAGCGAATATAATATTAAGAGTAGAAGAAAAAATGTTCTTGCTCCTGTGCTATTCAATGATGTAAATATTGATTATACTGAATAAATATTTTATTTTATTTATGATTTCATGAATAATATTTATTTTCTATGGGAACTTAAACCTTTTGTTCGATGTGATAATCTTCTCTATTATGTTGTTTTGACAATGCTTTTGGATCTAAAATTAAATACTAAAATCGCACAGTATTACCTAATTAGGAGACTTCATCACCCAAAGTGTTTTGAATCAATCTAATAGATTCCGCAGGGAAACTATTATCGAGTACATGCCAATAATTGGGATCGCCTCTGAAAAATGTAAGATGGCCCTCCTATTTAGTTTTTTCCTATATGAAAAGTCATTAGTGATGAATTATTTACGCCAATGTTTTTAACTAAAGTGTGTAGATCAACTATTAGTTATCTGAAGACAGGGTCATTTTCTTAAAGATTGAATCCCACCTTTTCATTTAAAGTCGGATGATAATCATCATCTAAATTGGTACAGTTTAAGTCTTCAAGTGCATTTTCATTCACTTCTTCCCATTATTGTCTCACGAAGCTGGCCATGACCTCTCTGATGTTTTCACCTTAGAAAAAGTCTTAGAGAGCATCTCCACCGCCGACTTAATTGGAATACACTAGTGAGATAGAATGATATCTAACCCTTTTGAGATAAAGGCAATCCGTATTTTTATTCATAGAGTTGAGTTGCAGTTTATACAGCTTCAGAATTGCTGACTTGGTCCTTAGTAAGTAATTTTAATCTGACCAATCTAGGAGATCCTTAAAGATTATCAATTACTTTTCTGTTGGGGTTTCATTGAGAGGGTCGGTAAATGTTACTTTTGCTACTCTCTCGATGACAGGTTCATCATGTCTGACATAATATTTGGAGTCACGATAAGGAGTTTTGAAATCGTGTTCAATATGGTTGATTTTTTCGGATGCTGGTGCAGGGTATCTGAAAATATTATAACCCTAATAGATTAACAAAATTTGTTCACTGGAGTTAGAATTTTAAACCATTAGACGGATGGGTGGAATAGAGTATTATAGGCTCTATTTAACATGTCCTAATATACAGATTTCATTCCTTTTATATTAAATAAAAATATTAATTAATTTTATGAATTAAGAATCCTTGGAAAGCATTATTGAGAGATTGTAATTACTTAAATAGATAACTTAATAGTCAAAGAGATAGACAGAGCATTAGGGATAGAATGGATGAAAGAAATTAATTATTCGAAAAAGCAAATTAAAATTATAAATCTAATTTATAAAGAGAACTAGAAACAATTAAATTAACAAAGTAAGATCTTTCATAACTATGCTTGTAGTAAATAGGCTGAACAAAGGGATTTAGAGTTTAGACAATACATTGTATAGTTATTCAAATAATACGACGAAGGGAACTAACAAATGAAATTAACAATTCAATAAACTATACAAGAAAAAATTAATTATAATGATTATTTAATAAGGAACTACCCACTTGACAGCTTGAAGGAAAAAAAGGATTTGTAAGAGGAAAACCTTATGCTTAGGAAACAATTGGAGGTTCATATTTATAACCTAGTTTTAGTAATTTATTTAATAAACAACTACTTTGTCCCATTTATTCATCCCTCTAATTGAAATATAGTAGAAAGACTAGGAAGAGCAATAGACACTAGATAAGTACTTAGGGGAACATCTAGAAACTAATATTCAATAGAAATAGTAACATCCGATTTAGAGTCAATCTACTGTTATATAAATCGTCCCAAAACAAAAGATCCAAGAATAGAATCAAACTACCTAAGTTAAATCACTCAGCACAACTTCAAAAAAAATGGAAAAGGATTTTCTTTAAGAATTTATGATACCTTTGGCAGGAAGATAATAGTGAAAACGTTAATTTTTTATTTATTTAAAATAATTGTTGATAACAGTATAAGAATTTGAAATTAAATAGGTCTAAACCTTTAGGCGATTGCAGCATAAATATATTCAATTTATAATTATACAAGTGATTAATTTATTTTGATAATTATTAAAAAATGGATGAAGATGAATAAGTAGATTAAACAATGGTTACATTTGGTTCTATAATTGCCATATCTGATTTCGTGGATCAGAGTGCTTTCTTATTCTCGGATGGGTTCTTGAAACCTGGACTATTTTTAAAAAACTTTGTTTATAAAGAATAAAAAAAGTATTCAAGCATGATATATTAGAAAAACATATGAAGGTTTAGATAATGATTCCTTTTACAAATGCTTATTTTAAGTTTTGCCCAGAGTCTCTGATACTGTTAAGTCACGAGTTTTATAAGATTGTAATGTAACTGATATTAAGAAAGATGAAAAGGACGGAAGAAATGTATGTCAAAAAAATAAATATGTAGGATAAAATCAAAATGTCTAATCAAAGAATGAATGAAGAGCTTAGTTAATTAATGAATGAGTATAAGCAAAACATAGATGCAATAGATAAATCCAGATATTAAAAGTTGACATATCATCAGCCATTTCAATTACTACACATTGCAAGTGGTAAGTTTTTAGCTTGCCATGACAACGAAGCATAGATAGAGAATCAAAACTACTTAGTTAAGTTAGATGACTTCTCAAGTGATTACACCGTTTTTAAGATAGTACCTGCATATATGTATTAAAGTCATGGAGAACAAGATGTAAATGCTGGTGAAATGTGTGCGATTACCAGGGCTATGCCTATCTCAAATCGGTTTGCATATATTAGTTGCTCATAAATGGAAATTTCAGAAATTAAAGGTAATGCATAATCTAGATCTGAACATATCTTGAAGAGAGAAATAAACGCCAGTGTCGAATAGTCTCATTCTTGGAAAATAGTTCTGTTTTAACAATATATATCTGAAAGCTCTAGGAACTTAAGAGTTGGGGATTGCATCTGGTTGTATCATAGTGAAGCCGAGGCAACACTCTCTGTAAAAAAATATCAAGAGGCTGTAGATAAGACCAATTTCACATTTTATCACCTATCTGAATGGCTCTCCATAAACAATTTATACGTGTCGATCACAAAGTCCCAAACAGAAAGTGCTTAAGGATATCAAGGGAGTACAAATGGGTTATGGCAAATTGAAGGGGAAGAGTTTCTTTAGGGAGGATTTGTTAAGTATGATGCCGGCTATAGACTTAAGAATATTACCACAGGATATTATTTGAGTGTAATAGAGATTTCAACCGATAAGAATAGCAAATAAATTAAAAAACAATAATATAAATATCGGTTGACTTAGGAACAGGACAAATCAACAATTTTTACTTTTGTTGATCTCAAAACTCAACCAAATTAAAAATATTTAAAGGGAGGAAGTTATACATATCTTTAAAACAGACAAAGTTAAAATTGGATGGATTTTTAAAATGATAAATAAAACCATGAATATATTCCAATTTTGAAGGCTCCTTAAGAAAAAACTGAACATGCAGTATTTAAAATTCATATGGCCACTAGGAATGAAGTTTGGGAAATCTAATTTCTGTAATCCTGTTTTCGAAAATTGGCTAAATTTGTTATTCAGATTCAAGATCCAAAATATCCAGGAATTGATAACTTTCCTTCTAAAAGAAAATGGTTCGGAGAATTTTAGCAATTAAAAAGTTGCATCGCTGAATTAGAGAATTTCGTAAATAATAAATCTTATACAACCTCGGCAGAATAGACATTCGGCTCTATCAATTAATACAGGTAGAAATTAATGAGAGAATAGTTTTACATAGATATTCTTATCAAAATTTTAGAAAGAATAATAACTAAAGGAGAATTAGAGTTTTATTAGAAATTGGAAAATGATTCAGAAAAAAATGACAGGCAATCCAGAAACAATTTAGAAATGGAAGGCAATATTATTTTCGAAGACAAAGCCTTAATGATGCATGAATAAAAGACTGAGAATACATTAAAAACATAATACTAGAATTATGTTAAAGCTAAAGTTGAATTAATCGATTAAATCTACTAATTCTTGGGATCTGTATGTAAATTAAATAAAGAGAATCAAATATACACCTACGATTTGATACCATACTTTCAATTGCATACAAAATATTTACCAACAGCTATTGAAGCAACAATTAATATCGTATCAAACAATAAATTTTTATTATATAAACTAAGTGAAGATATTAAAATTGAATTTTATGAAGAGAATGAAATTGACAATCAATAAATAAAAATACTTATTAATTTATACTAGTTTGATGATAAGGACGAATATGTGGAAATTAAATAGCATGAGAAAATCATGAAAAAACCTGTCCCCTTAATTGAATATTTTATTAATTTGCTATGGGACGATGATGCTAAGAACAATTCATATTACCTAAAATTTTTAAGAAATGTTTGCAGTCATTAGGAATTTCCCATATAAATTAATCAAGAGAATATTTATAAGCTATATAAAAAGAATAATACCAAACAACCTAAACTGGGAGTTGAAACAAAAGCTGAAGAAAGCAAAAGTAATGATGGCACTGTAAGGCTAACATCCAAAGCTGGATAATTGATCATTCCTTAAGATTGTGACATAAGAGACATTAATAAAAGTTCAAGGGACAAATTTATGTATATAATTGAGTAACTCACCTTTTTTTCAGAGGTTGCTTTAGGAAGAAACTATTCATGGAAAAATGAATTAGGTGCTTAATTTGAAAAATCATTCTTATTTAGGAATATTTGGTTTAAGCACCCTATTGATCCCAAATATATAGATTTATAGCCTGGATTTGCTAGATTAGCATTGACTTTATATATTGATTAAGAGCCTCTAATGATAAAGAAAGCACCAATCATGTGTTAATTGTTTAGTGAGTGTGAAAAACCCAGAGATTATATCCTATTCAAGAGCTCAACTTAGGCTGGGGCTTCGAATGTTTAAGAGTTGAACACATACAAAGATCTAGTGAATAACTTGATGAATTATTTGAATGAGAAGGGAGGGGAAATATACGAGATAATGTGTCCTCTAATTCATAATCAAGGCGGCGAGGAAAGAGATTCTAAGAAGATTTCAAATTAAATTGGTCCAGATATCCTAAAGGATGAATTAATATTAAATACAATGAGGATTTTGGATAAAGTGATGAAATTGAATTTGATTTGGGTATTAGATTATTCCCTAGGAGATGCACTATAAATCAATTTAAAACCACAATTATTCATTTAATCAATGGTTAAATCTTGTTTGGATATTTTCACTTATGAGAAGTATGAACTTAATTTGGTCCAAGCTCATTGTTAAACAGAAAGACAAAGGGTTTAAAAAAAGTTACAAGATAAACAAAGTCAACATAAGCTTAGTGCACCAAATTTTATGAATCTCTTAAAAAAATAGAATAAAGAAGAAGATGACAATGAGGAACAGAGAGGAGAAAGCTAAATAGCAAATGATCAAAACATATACTTAAATCCTATTATGAAGGGATACTTAAAGTTATAATCAGTAATATAAACGTAAAACTTTTTGGATCCGAAGTATATTGAAAATGAAGTCTAATTAAAAATAAAGATATGCGATTTCCTAGAATACTTGTTAGATCTAAGATAAGATTTCATGATGTAAAATTGTATTGTCTTTTTTAAAACATAGATTCTATAAGGAGATCATATAGAAAATAATCCTGTTGCCTATAGTCAATACTTGTAAAAGGAAAATAAGAAAAAACCTCTAAGTCAGAGAAGATAATATGAGGACTTAAACCAAAAAGAAAAAAATCTATTAATTATTCAGAGATTATTAAAGAACCATGCATTAGGATTATTCCCTAATTTAGCATAGACAGGTATAAAAGAAATAGATGAACCTTAAAAAGAAGAAATTAGTTTAAAATCATTCACATAAAACTTAATAAAAATTAATAAGTAGGAAGAAAAGGCTAAAACTAGATTTTATAATTATATTAACAATCCACAGATCCCAGAGATTTTAGATCTTGACTAATATTTAAGTTTGGCTTTAGATGATAGAAACCCAAATGATTAACCAGTTGCTAGTTTATTACCAACATTTTTACATACATTTTATCATATCAAGGATAAAGAACTAGAAAAACGAGGGCTGCAATTATTATTAAGATTATTCACTTAAAAGGAAGAATTCAAAAAAAATCTGTAAAATATGTAAGTCATTTTTGATTCTGAGAAGACGATACTACATAAGTATATTACAATGAACTTGGAAAAATTCTAAACTTTAAATGAGCGACTTGATATATGGATGTCTAGTTATATTTATGAGGATAAGATCACCAGTGACTTTGAATAAGCATAAAAGTACTTAACAAGTTTTTATCATGGACTAAAAAGTGACATCAAATTTGAGGATAACGAATTGATCTCTACATTAGATGTGATTGATCCAAAGAAATAATAACTTTATGCTAACTTAGGAGCACACATAGCAGTGGTTAATTTGTTGCCAAATGGATTGAGATATATTCATGAATATATAATGGATGTAGAATTTGAGGAGGAGAAAAAAATTGTTATGATTGACTTTTTTAGATTGGCTTTTGATGTTCTAAAGAATTTCTGTTTTAACAACAATGAAAATTAAATTATACTATTTGAGTATTTAAATTATTATCGCTATATGCAATATGATCTAGGCTAATTGGAATTGATTGAGACTATATTTTAAAATAATAAGACATTATTAGTTCAAAAAGTAGATTAATAATTGATAGATGTGATTTTACAATTAATACTGAAAGAAGGAAGGCAAAAGAGATTTTTACTAGTATTTGAATCATTAATGAAGTATCATTCAAATTACATATTTGACAACTAGATTTTAATACAAAATAGTCTATTACCATTAGAATTTGGCGAGAAAGACATAAAGGTTTTATATTGTGATGGCTCAAGAAACAGTGATTTGAAATTGTTCCTAGAGGACCTAATTTAAGAACCTGAATTAAAATTTGTTGAGAAATTGAGAGAGCTTGACTATAGGGATACATTTAGAGATGAGCCCTTCTTCTATCATGCATAATTGCTAGATATTCTCATTTAGACGACTTTAAATAATGTTGAAAAGAGAAAATTTACTGCAGATACCAAGGAGGAGGATATTAAAAAGAATTTCAACATCAGTGTAAGTAAATTGAAAAGATTGTTTTCAGCAACATATTTACTTGAAATATTATGTTCTAGTGATGCATTTGTAAAAATGCCAATCACAACCAAATCTCAAATTTAATACATTGATAGCAATCACAAAATTAAAGGGGTTACTTTGATAAAATTGTAAATAATTGAATTTTTAAGATTGGTTCATATCTCATCTGAAAGAGGACAGGTTTAGCATTCTCAATTATTTCATTGTAGATAATAAGTCATTGATTTTATGACCTTTGAAATCAATAGATTGGAGAAAATTACTGATTTGCATTTATTTACTTAAGATTTAAAAGTTTATCACATCGAAGGAATTTTCCCTTTTCTATTGGCTTACTACGACAGATTTCTAAAGAACATAGAGAAATAGGATTTGAGAAAAGATTTATAAATTATTGAGAAATTCTTGCAAGAATGGTTAAAGAAGGTTAAGAATCTAACATCTGAATAAAATATCCTATACCCAATTATTACAACTACTGAAGATGCAAAGTTGTTAGTGAGATGTTTACAAACATTCTGTAAAGTATTTTATGAGAAAACAGTAAATTAAAAAGAGGATCCTATTTGGAATTAAGTGAAGATTAAATTGGACTCCCTCAAAGAAGCAGATTAAACGTAAGGTGAAGATATTATATAAAACACTAATACTAATAAAAAGATATATAATGAAATGATGATAGGATAAAATTCTAGGAAAAGCAGTTTGATGTCAAAATAATTAAGCAATCCTGATGATCAACTAATCCAAGACACAAGTAAGAAATATTTACCTGAAAAGAAGAAAATAACCGTATTTTCAGATAAGGATGATGATTGTGAGGAATTGCTGGAAGGTTATGATTCACTGAAATCAAATAAAGTAGAAAAGCTTTGGAAGTTATTTTTAAAAGAATTATTAAATAAGGATCATTTTTTAAAGGAGGCTGAAAAAGAAAGAGAAACTATTGCCAATGCAATTTTAAACATATCTAGTTTATTAAAGCCAGAATTTAGTAAGAACTTAACTAATAAACCTGATGTCAAAAGCATATCGAGGAAACTAATATCATATCTCTAATCAGCTTTCTCAGATCCCAATTGCAAAGGGTCTATTTAAACCTTATTACACATTTTAAAAAAAATAATTGATACAGATCCAACCAGAAAAGTAGAGATGCAAAATCTATTTGATAAATTAGGAGCAACTTAAATGGTATTGTTAGTCCTGAGCGAAAATAATTAAGACAAGAAATTAATGATGGTATTAATATATGTTATTTACGATAGTCTTTCCTTTAATTTATTAACACTTTGTTAGATGGAGGAAATGATCAAGTTCAAGGAACTATATACAGTTTTATGATGAGCTTTAGTCAATCTGAAAACATTTTCTAGAAGATCTATTTCATCATTCGAAAACAAATTGAAAATCTAGAAATCCTATCAAAGTCGAAAGGAGGATCTGAAGATGAATCAGCTGGGTTGCTTTAGATAGATTACAATGAGTTTTAAGAAGATTTAAGTTTGGTGTTGGAAGTATTAACATTCTTGTAAAATGCTGTAGAAGGTCATTATCGAAAACTTCAAAATTATTTTAGAGAACAAACCAACTCAAAAAACAACTATGACTTAACCAATGCTATAACTGATCTCTTTAAAACCTATTATTATGATGGTCGTATTTAAAAAAACTATGATAACATGTTGAAGTGTTTAGATACTTTAAATGAGCTAGTTTAAGGACCTTGTTCAGACAATTAAAAAGCTATTTCTGAATCTAAATTCTTGGATATTGCAGCTGATTTGTTCTCCTAATAATATATTCTATCTCCGCCAGAAGAGATAGAATAAATTGGAAAACGAAAATCTCTTTTGGATTAGCCATTACAGAGATGGTAGATTTGTAGATTAATGAATAAGATTTTGAATTTGATCATGAGTTTATTAGAAGGAAGTGAAATAAATTAAAACAATCCAATCTTAAAAAGAATCATGAGAAACTTACCAATAAGTTTATTAGAAAAGCATTGCGTTAACGAATATAATAAATATGTTAAAATATATGGTGATAAGTATGAAATCGAGGCACTAGAACATTTATCAGTTGACCCTTATAAATTAAGAAAAATGAAAGAAAGTAAATATGATAGAATTAAACAAATATCCTAATAACTCCCTTACTTTGAAACTATTTTACAGAATGGATTTCTGTTATTCTTCTTAATGAGTTATTACATGGAATGTGACCCCTATATTGTGAGTCCAATTATAAAAATTGCAAGGATGTATAAAAAAAAGATATTAAAAACGTAAACAAGCAATGAAGTTTGGTAAATGTTTAAGGATTCATTTGTTTATATGTTTATATAATTTACAATTGCTCTAATAAGGAATTTATTTGGGACTTTGAATTCCATGAAGAATTTAGCAACTGATTAGTTTAAAAACAATTAAGTATAGCCAGATATGTCAGAGGAAGAGAAATAAAGAATCAAAGAGGAACAATATAGACAGGATCTGCAAATGGCTATCAACTTTTATTTAGAGAATAGTGCTCATATTGATGTTATGCATGATGAGAATCTAGAAGTTGTTTATTTCATTAAATTACCTTCAACAAAATATTTGCCTAAAGAATAAAAAATCCTATTCCACGATCAAGTAGATAGAAGTACCACATAATCAAAGGTTTAAGGGTTGCTGAATATAGCTCCTACATTGATTGAAGTTTGTAAACATGAAGAATATTTAAAGAGATTATTTGATCGATAGAAATATTTAGCCTTATTAACTGACTATGTTAAACTCTGGAGAGAACTCGCTTTTTTCTTAACCTTATTTTTGAATTTATTCATACTGTTTAGCTTCGATGGAACAGTAGGCGATAGGGTTTAGGATTACATCTTTTTTAGTTAATATTAAGATTTTACTCCAATGATTACTAAAACTATAATATACATCATTGGTATTGTGATGACAGGTTTATCCTTATTCGTGGTCTCATTTTATTTACTGAAAAATGCTCCATTGATTTTAAAAAGGGCTTGGTTGTAAAAAGGGCTATTTGAAGATTAAGACCCAAACCCTCTCTTTATTTTAATAGACATGTTTTACAAATTTATACAAACTATTTTAAGTTTCTTATAGGAAGTGGAAGTGATGTATTACATCGCATATGGTTTATTTGCAATATTGGGTACTTTTTATCACCCCTTATTTTTCATATTCCATTTAACTGAAATTCTTTTTAGATATCCAACATTAAAAAATATCATTCTATCAGTTTATCGTCCTAGAACCTAATTGATTTTAACATTTTTCTTGCTATTTTTGTTAGTTTATGTGTTCACAATTTTTGCTTATTGGAGATTATCAAATGAGTTTGCAGGATATTGTGATACTCTATTATATTGTTTCATGATGAATGTGGAATGGACATTTAGAGGGTCTATAGGAGATTATGTATAATAAGAATTAGGAGTAACTGATGTTGCTAGAGAATTGGGTGTTGGTAGGTTCTTCTTTGATGAGGTTAGCAATATTATTTTGGGTGTTATAATGCTCAACATTGTTGCTGGTATTATCATTGATACATTTGGAAGTTTAAGAGAGGAGGAAGGGAACAAATTAAATGATATGGTCGACAATTGTTTCATATGTGGAAATCTAAAGTATTTATATGTTATGATGTTTTTTAGGGCTGATTTCGATAGATTGCAATCAAAAAGCAATGGTGGTTTCAGAGAACATATAAAAATGAATCATTATATGTGGAACTATGTTTATTTCTTCGCTTATTTGAGATGGAAGGAGAAAACAGAATATTCAGGAATCGAGAGTTATGTTGACTAAAAACTGAAAGAGGAAGATCTTTGTTGGGTTCCATTTAATCAAGCAAGAGAATTGGTGGATTTGGATGGCAACAAGGGCATCAGAGAGAAGGAACTCATATCAAAAATAGAAGAGAAGGTATTCTGTTATTCATAATTTTAGATTGTTTTTGTCTAAGAATAAATTATTGACATGGGTAAACTGATGAAGGTTGAATTTAAAAAAAATAATTGAACCATGTTATATATATGTATGTGTATTTAAGACATATCAATTTTATTTCAATTTATTTGTAAGTGGTTTACTTTCCTATTTGAGTGGTTCTGTTTCAACTTGATTTTGCTTAGTTTTTAATTTCCTTTCTTCAATTTGCTTTCTTGCTTTTTCAGCATTTGGGAAGTTTTCTGGGTCTCTTATGATCATAACAACATAAAAGGCTATGACGAATTAAATGGATACAACAGCAGAGATACCAGCACTTACTTCTCCCAAGGATTCTCTTAATCCGAAAAACATTGAAAATGGTATAATTAAGACGAGGATGAAAATAAAGCAAAATTGTTATGCCACTCTCTTATTATGAAGAGGAATGCCAAAACTATTAATAATTGTCAATTGTAAATTTACAAGTAATATGGAGGAGGCTCTTTGAATTTCTGATCATTATTTTTATTCATTAAAAATTAATTAGAAATATTTAATCAAAGTGGTTATAGTTTAGGGAAAACCTTTCTTTTCATATATTACAATCCATATTTAGAATTCGTTATCATATTTTTAAAGTTCTGTTTGAATTCAATAATTGAAGAATGAATCTTCAGTTCCTTTCTTAATATCCGTTCTCCCTTAACTTTCACACATCGAGTGTTATTATTAACTGACTTTAATATATCATTTCACAACTTACAGATTTCGATATCAATTCTGCCTCCGACATTATGCTCTTAATCGATTATCTGCATTAAGCAATCGACGGTAATTTCACATAGCATTATCTCTCTGTTTGAGCTATTTCTTGATTAGATTATAATTATTACATTAATTTATGAGATATTTATCTTTAGCATTTACTCTTACTAAATTTAATTTTAAGAAAAATCAAGCAGTTCTTGACAAAACTCATTAGTAAAATGCGCATATAAGTTATTATAAACAATAAGATAATATTTAAGACTAGTTCTGAACTGATATGACAGAAAAGAATGTATCAATAATTTGTCAGCTTTATAGAAATAATTTACAGATGAAAAGTCTATTATATCACAGCAATTCCACTAGCATCTGAGAGTTTTCCATGATAATTAATAAATAAAGAAATTAGAGAATTTTAATATTGATTTTGGAAGAATTGTTGCTCGTATTTGTTAGTAGAGAGCAATATTCTAAGATTTTATCGTAGAATATCTGCAGATTTTCTAAGACTGTAAGGATGGAGAGCCTTGAAATGTAATTTTTGTTATGACTTAAAGAATCTATCAAATTAGATACATGAATTCTAGTAGAAGTATTATGCAAATCCTTCATTTGCAGAAATGACAGTCAAAAAGTTATTGAATTTAGTTTCTTTTTGGATGCTTTTGAGCATATTGGAATTAGAGAGAGTGTTTGATAATCGTTGGCTATGACGCCCAGATTTATTTCGTTTTATCGATTATTTTAGATTGAGATGATTAAAATATACACTATTAGGAGTAGATTATGCAGGAGTGTTAGTTATTTATGTGAATACTTAAATCTCAAACGAATTGACGTTAGAAGATATGAACTTAATATTGAATTCTGGTGATGATACTAATCTTTATTAAGTAGTTTGAGATGCAATAGTTTGTTAAAAGTAAGAATTGATGCATTGATTTATACTAAAAAGAAATTGAAGTGGATTAGTTGTAATTTCTGAAGATTTGTAGAAGTTTCTAATTATATTTATAACAATTAATACCTAAAATTAGCATAAAAAGGTTTCTTATCATTAAACGATTTCCTTTATTGCCCTAGGATCTAAATGAGAGTGATACTTCTAGAAAGATGGATAGGAGGAGGAACTTGGGTAAGATTCTTATTTTAGGATTCTTAATACTGGAATTTATAATTGTCCTCTGTAATAATTTGTTTTGATTGTTTAAGTGCACAGGAGTAGTTTGTGAAGAGCAGGAACCCTTTCGAGGATTGAATATTCTACTAGATTTGTAATGTGGTTAGAATGCGCATAAATTAAGAAGAGGATATTTGGATTAAGGCAGGAAGGCAGCCTTCCTTGCTTACATATATTGATGTCTAAACATAAATATATCAAAATCATTTCAACAATTCCCTTATTTCACATATCTTTTTGAATAGTTCGATCATAGGGATCAACAACATGTTGGCATATGTGGCTTCAATTTCTTCTTCAGGCCCACAGATGAAACATTGTCCCATGTAGCCCTTCTTGCATGAACGACAATAGGAATGTGCACATGGAATAACAGTGACTGGTTCCTTAAGTTCTTAATGACACAACTTACAAACAATGTAATTCTTCATCTCTAACTTAAGTTTAAATTGATTTATTTACGCAGATGCTATCAAATTCTCGAAGAGCTTGTTGTTGCATTTTCATGGGCTTGGTTTCCAAGGTTCTTTTCTACTCTAATTGATCATTTAACTTTTTCAATTGCAACTACAGATAGCCGATATGGTTGTTTTGATCTTGTAATCTTAAATCTCAATTACTTTGAACCTCTAATCAAATGTTTTGGAATGTAAATGCAAGCTACTATCTTGAGATCTCAAATGTCGGTTGTTTATTTTTAGATCGTCAATTTAATTGGTCATTTAATTGATCTACAATTGCAAGGCCTTGTTTGATTCTTGCAGTTTTTGAACCTACTCTTGTAAGGATTCATTCAATTATTGCAATTCCTTATTCACTTCTTGGAGAGATGCATTGGTGAGTCTCAACTCCTCTAAAACGAATTATCGGTCGAAATTCGTGGGCGATTTGTTGTTATGCAAACTTTTACGAAAGGGCACTTGAGCAGTCTTACGACGAGGCATCAAAGAGAATAATTGCTTTGGTTCCACTTAGAGCGGAGACTAAGGATATTATAATTTGGAAATTCCTTCATATCTCAGATAAGCCTTCATATTAATATATTAATTAAATGAATAGCATTGATAGTTATTAGAGTAAAGCTACAATTAATGCATAATCGATTATTTCTAAGATAGCCACTCGGAATGGGCAAGCTGAGTAAGTTGATCAAATTGAATATTAGTCATAGCTCCTTGATTGCAGCTTTGGATGAGGAAACTGTTTCAGCTGCTTGGAATGCATTTGGTATTTCCTCACCCACTATTATTAAGGTCTTCATATTTCAAGACAACTGCGTATGGGTAGAGGAGTGGCAGTCAACAAGTTTGGAACCTTTTCATTTAGTGCTCCAGACGTAGTTTTGGATGGAGTAACAAATCCAGTAGATAGAGATAAGTAGCCTCGTTAACCAGTATTTCTTGTTGCTAAAGTATTTCATCTAAGTTACTCTAAGGAATTTGTTAATGGCTTTAATCTTAAAACTGCCATAGCCATTGGCCGATAATTAAGACCTTATAATATTCAAACATCTGGTAAAATTTAACATGCTATCGTCAATTGGGCTGAGATTGCACTCTATGCCTCTTAGAATAAGGATTCTGCTAAGATGGCAGTGGAAAGAGTGTTAAAATCATTATCTGATATTGTGCGAAACGTATTTAGCAATCATTTAATTATAGAGAGACATTGTAGAAGTTGAGATCCCATGCGTTGGTACTTTCTTTGTCAAAGCGCGTTGTGCTGCAGTCTAGTTCCTTGAATCTTTGATGGATAGTTGCAAAGTAACAAGCATCTTTTATTCAAAGGAAATAACCAAAAGACCCTTGTCAGAGAGAAAATCGAAGGGGGACATGAGATTGACTCAATAATACCTGCAATAATTAAGTAGAAGTTCCCATCCAGAGGAAAATAACTTTGTAATTGATGACAACGCAAAAAATTATCTTACTAATTCGCTGGGAATTGAATTGCCAGAAACAAGACCCAAAACAGCCAAACATTCCTTATATTCATCCAAAAAAGGACCTCTAACTAGTAAAACTGTAAATATTAATGGCTATTACTCCATTAGATTGAAGTAAGACCATCAACACAACAAGCTTCAAGAATAGGTTTCTCAAGATCTGTAAATGACAAAGTTTATGCACTTGAAAGATTGAAATATTACATTAGAGATCATGCATTAAATATAGAAGATGTAAAATGAATTTCATATTCCAAGTCCTTTTTAGATTTGTGTTAATAGGCTTTTGGAAAGACCAATGAAAGAAAAGTTCGCATGAATTTTGATGATTTCAAAAGAGCTGTCCTACAAATTTAATTGCCTCTCAATGAAATTCAAATTATTACATTGTTTTAGACACTCGATGTGAATAATGATGGATTTATTGATAAATTTGATTGGCTGAAAGCTGTTGTAGATAAAAGTAAATATTAATGCCTTATATTAATTGAATAGAAACTCATGTTAATTACATCAAGGATGTGGTCTATAAATTCTAAATTCACACTGATGATCTATTGCAGAGAATGAATTTAAATAGAGATCACCCTCCAATCAACCTCCAGTAACTGAAAGCTGCTTTAATGCATTTAGACGAATCGTTGAATTAGAATAAAGCACTGAAAGTAGCAAAAGAGATTTTGGATGGCAAAGAAACCATCAGTATGAATGACATTTTAATCCTATTCAATACAGTTGAAGAGGAGGATAAATTATACGATCTGTCATGGTTCAAAGATACTCTCCATAAAATGAGAGATCACTTAATCAATCCTTAGAAGTTGAAAGTGTTGAGACAATCTTTCGAATATTTTGATGAGCATTAGGAAGGTAATTTGGATACAGCTAATTTTAAAACTGTATTGATGGAGAGTCAATTGGGATTGAATGTTTAAGACATAAATAGATTGGTTCGATATCTGCCAAAGAATAGAGAATCTTTGATAAATTATTACGATTTCATTTAAATGATTATGGATGTTGATAAGTAAATGGAGTAAAAGGATACAGCTAAAGACCTTGTTGATTTTGCTTAAAAAATCAGTAAGTACCTGACTCAGAGAAAGTTTACAGTCATTCAATTTTTATAATAAGTAAAGTCAGGATATGGTTCTTGTAATATTGAATCTACTTCTCAATACCTTGAAAAGAATCTCTTTTCGCAATTACCCCATGAAGAATGTTTGGAATATTGCAGAGAAATGGATGTAGATGGAAATGGAGTTGTGAGTGATGAAGATATGAATATTTTCATTAAACGCTATTCTTATTTTAACATAAGAAAAGATCAATCTCAAATTGAATAAATTGCTGAAACCATGAAAATCAAACCTTAATTCGGTGACACCTTATCAGCCATTGAAAAAACTTTTGTCTAATCCAAATCTATTGATTTAGTGACTATGGGGCAAAAAAAGATGTTTTAATCTTTAGTTGATGGAATGAGTCAAACGAAAAGTCTTTTCCCCATTGAAGAATTGCCAGAATCAAAGTTTGATCAAATTCTAAAAGACTTACGTATTAAATTAACAAGGAAGGGAATGTCTTATGATGAACTCTTTACCTTTCTAGACACTGATCATAATGGATTCTTATCAATTAGCGAATTTTATAATATTGATAAAATCATGACCTTGAGCTAGCCAGCTAAGGATGGGTTTTTTGCCTTTATGGATAAGTAGAAGATTGGCTTAATTGATTTAAATACCTTTGTAAAGTTTTTGAGCAAGTCAATAATATAGTAGATGCCATAATTATCAGAAGACGATTGGGATTGGGAGTTGGAGATCTTATTTAAGATAAGAAATTGGTGTCAAAGGGAGAATATTACTATTGAGGATGCATTCAGAACATTTGATAAGGATTTTGATGGATAAATAAACAAAACTGATTTAAGGACATTTTTAAAGGACATCTTGAAAATAGAAGAGAAAGAGATTACTGAGGCCAAAATTAATAGATTATTCAAATTGATGGACTAATATAAAAGAGGAAAAATAACATTAATGGATTTTAGAAGATTTGTAGAAGAAGGATTTTTCTATGGTAAAAACAAACAAATATTTGGATAAAGTACAACTTTGGCAGGAAAACAATAACAAGAATCTAAATCTTCCTTTGATTGGAAGATGAATGCTAGACAATAGATAGGATTAATAATAAGTAGACATTATCCAAATGTGAAGGAATCTTTTGATATAGTTTCAGGATATCGTAAGAAATTGGTATTCTAGAAATTTAAGAAGTGGATAGATGAAAAAAATGTCTTGGCAGGATTTGATTTAACAGAAAAATTAGTGTATGAGATATTTTCAGACTTGGATTCCCATAAAAAAGGTTATTTGGTAGAGTCAGATTGGTTGAATGCATTTGCTCAATATAATTGGTAGGAGTAGATGATTAAGGAGATTTAGGATGCCTTATCAACGTATTTCTCTAGCATTTAAAATGCAATCCATTATTTTTAGATGGAACACAGCCACATCATTACTAAAGAAAGCTTCTATAAGGCTTTATAAGCATTGTTTCCAAAGAGATTTGTTGAAGGAGATATTGAAATCCTATGGAATAGAGTTTAGAAGAATGGGTCATTAAGTAATCATGCATTTGCACTTATTTTTGGAAAAGGAGGTAAAATATATGAGCCCACAGAAGGACAATAATAATAATTAGCTATTCGTCCAGCAACCTAAGGGTATTTTATAAAAAGTATAATATTTTAGTGGACTATCCGAATTACCTTTGGATGAAAGAAATTAAGTGAATATCAGCTTATTAGACAAGATCAGAAGGTTCTTACGAAATTCAAATAAAAATCTTAATGACCTATTCAAGTAGTATGATTTAGACAACACTGGATTCATAACTAATCTAGAATTCAGACAGGTTATCCGAAGTTTGAATATGGGATTGACCTTTTAGGACATTGATATTTTATCTGCTATGTTGGGTACAGATAGAAATAGTATGGTGAATTGGAAGGAGTTTTCTAAGAAATTGGATTTTAGATAAGCTGATAATAAGATACTTGAGAGAGCTGGCATTCATTTATAAAGAGTCAATGATCACATTTATCATTATTTGTTGTCTCCTAAAGATGCATTCAGATAGATAGATGCTCAACACACAGGATTTCTTACCTTTGATAAATTTAAGGACATGATTGAAATGCTATATAGATTGGCTACTGAAGAAATTCCACCATTTGCTATAATAAAAGATCTATTTGAATTTATTGATAAACGAAGGGATGGACATATAGATTTGACTGAGTGGATGGATGCATTTTCTAAATTCTCAAATCCTAATGAGAAGAAAAGGTTTTATATAGTTTTATGAACAATTTTAGACCGGTGAGTGCTAACGTCAGAATTAAGAAGGCCTCTCAGAAGTCATTAATGGCATAGACAGATAAGAATTGGTTGGCCAAGTCGAATGGACCTTATCATCAATAATTTGAAGGATTAACTGATGATGGATTGATAAATGCTTAGAGCAAATTCAAAACATTCCTCAGGAAACCACCTGCCAAATAGAATGCTCTTCAATATGTTGGTATGTATTGGCACTTAACAAACAATTAGAGAATGGAATTTGGGAGAGTTCAAAAGAGTTTGATAGAACCATAAATGCAATTGGGAAGAATAGAAAATACCTTTTGGAAATCTTTAAACATTTGACACAGAATGGACAAATCCCACTGACGGAAGATGTAATTAAGTGTTTATATATTCGAATAGCTTATCAAATAAGAGATGGACAAGATGTTGAGATCTTAAGGAATTGTTGTCAGAGATGAACAGTGGCCTCAACTAATCTCTTGGTCAAAGAAGAATGGCCGCATTGATTATAAATTTTTACTTGAAGTGTACAAAGATCGCTTAAATGGAATGGATACCCAACCCAGAACGGGGGATGACGAGTGAATATTTATTAAACTAGCTGGCCATGTTATAATAATAATTAAATAAAAATTTAAAAAAAAGCCTTTACCAGCTTTTTAAAAACAAAAGTCTTCCCCAGAATCGAAAAAGTAAGTTAAAAACTTAAAGTAAACTAGTGAGCAGTAACAAAACCCGAGTATTGAAACAGTCTTAGAAATACAACAGCTCTAAGTGTCTCTTTGTTCCAAAGAATAAGGAACGGTAATCATACTACATCACTCCCCCTTCGAAATATAAGGTAATTCGACTTTTAATTGTTATAGAACCCACTCACTAACATCGAAGAATTAAATATTGATTCTAACTGTTCGACTGATAGCAGTCAAAAATTAGAAAATTTGAGTCCTGTGTATTACTGCCCAAAAGGAAAAGAACCATGTGGTGAGTTGCAGGTAGTCCTAAATGGAGATCTGATATAAGTGATTTCTTAGACCAAAAGCAGAAAGAAATCACGAAAATTCAGTGACCAAGAGACCTATGCGATGAGTAATTTCATTGCAGGCCCTAAATGTTAGGAAATACCTTGCCCTAAGTTCCTTTGATGATATATATATATTATCTATTATTTCAAAACACCCTAATCACAATGTTTATACAACATGTGCACATTAGGTTGATGTTTCCAATTCTAATTATTAACAAGATACTTTTTGTATTTGCATTCATTTTTAAGGGCTTATATATTTAAATACTTCACAAAATTCTTTGTTCCTAATTATCAGAGAATGCATATTTGATGTTAATCTTAAAAATATTTAATTTATATAGATCGTAAAATTGGAATTATATATCACCCGATTTTCTAGAATCCCTTTTAGATCATCAAAAAGATAATTTAAATTCGAAATAATCATTTGATTAATTCTAAATTTTATAGTGATATAAAATATATATATATCGATTTATTATATATATATATATTATATCTTAGTCATCTTCTGCCTTCTAATAATCTGCCTAATTCATCCTTTAGAGAGTTGTTGTATGCTCTAATTTTTTCGATTTCATTTTTATGGTTTTCTGCTTCCTAATAATTAGAACATTTAAAATAGTTACTTTCTATAATTTCTCAGTTTCAACTTTTTTTGTATATTAAATTTTCTACTCCAAATCTTCAACTGCCTTCTATAACTCTTAGCATTCTCTATCCATAAACATGATTTTATTTGATTTGTCAGTCCTCTTTTACTCAGCATCTATCATTTTTCTCATACCATATGCAATGGAACTTTCATATAAGGTTTTGTAGGAATTCAATTGATTTCTGAATTCGTTTCGAACTCAAAAGTAATTAATATTGTAGACATACTTCACTAACAGTAACCCTCTCTGACTACAATCGATTGTAATTTAGCGAATCAATTCATCAAAACATTATTCATATAACTCTTCTCTAATGGGACAAATTCCAGTTTCTCTGGCTCCTCTTGACAATAACCTTTTGTCCAATTCTTGTTATAATTAAACAACTTCGATTCTGGTGGCAGGAGTAGATAAAACAGTTTGCACCCACAATTGTCCATTTTTCAATCTGTATTCTTTGGGTGGTAGATTTTATTGCAATATTTCTTAGGTTATCATTTTCTCTTGCTGTCATAATTTTTTTAAATTTGTACTCTTCCAGGACTATTGACTCTAACTTATTGCTTAGCTTAGGCATCCTTTTTTTCCCCTATTTGTTATCCACAAACTCATACCAGTGTTTTTTCCAGCTACTGACACCAAAACTGGAGTTGAATATTTGACTAAACTATTCAATGACGGTACAAAGTCTTCCATTAAAATAATTAATGAATAATAAAGATTATTTGAAAAAATAACTGGAATACAAATCCAATCTTGTAGGATAAGGATTCCATACCTAATTAGAGGACAATAGACATGCGTGTGTGAACATTTTTGGCGAAATCTTGGAGGCTTCCAATTTTGATAATAGCTAACTTTTTCTTTAATGGAAATTCAAAATCCCTCCTGGATGGGAATTAGATGATAATGAGTTATTGGAGCTAGATTAAAAAGAATACGAAGATATATAATTAGAAGAATGGAACAGAATGTACTTATTCACTGCTAATATATCAGATAGTCTATTACGCAATAATCGAAAGTCAATACAATTAAAAATGATGATGGCACTATCACAGCTAAGGCTCATTTTTGTTTTCCTTTTGACTTACAATTATAAGTAGATGAAAACGAATTGAATTTCGGCAAATTTCCTCAGCTTCTTGTGCAAGTGAGTTCAATGGATTCTTGGGAGAGAAATTACATTTAGGGGTACGGATTCATTGAAATCCCTCATACTCCAGGATTTCATGAACTTACAATGAAAACCTATAGACCTAACGATGATCTTTACACAAGAGTGTATGAATTCTTCTTGGGAGGAGGCACCAAAGTCAAAGACTTAGACTCTATTTCCAATGCTTTCTATTTTGACAAACAAAATCAACCCAAGGTCTTGAATAGATTCCCTATTGACACAGAAAGTTCAGGTGACATCAAAATAAGAGTTAATGTCTCCATTCAAAGAGAGTATTCATCCCCTGTTATATATCTATAGGTCCTATCAAACTATGAGTAGAAAGAAGGATTACTAACAAAAAAATTAAGAAATGAAAACAAAGTATAGGGAAAGACTCGAGTACCTGCAATAATAATAGGAAATCTAGACTGGATTACCCACAGCATTAATTAAAACAGATATGGGTTATGTGAATAGATTTCATACAACTAATTTACCATAATATTGAATTTTATCATAATATTATATTCAATCCCTATCTAAATCGTCATCAGCAGTGGGATCAAACTTTAATTAAATAATTTATATACAATTTTTGCGTTTTCATTATTGACTACATGAGATATCAAACTCTGTCCAGACTTCTTCTTAGCCTCATATGATGTTTAGAATTCAGGGAAATGATACAAAAGTATTTCCTCATAAAGAAGATCTAAATCAATTTCTAGTGTACCTTTAATTTATTCCCTGGTCATTTCATACTTTTCAAACTCGAATTCTAATTGATTAACTAGCTAAGCACTAGGTTCATCAGCTTCAAAGTGCAATTAAGCCAAGTAAGGATGTTCTAAGGCCTGTTGTACAGTGATTCTTTATCTATAATCGAATGTCAACAGTTTCCTTAATAAATCCAAAGCTTAAACAATGAGAATGCTTAATTACCATTTTTAGAGGCATTTTTAAACAATTGCTCTAAAGGTATTCCTTATTTTGGTCCAGTTTCTTTGATTACCTTCCTCAGATTGTTCTAAACCTTTTCATCTTAGAAGGATTGGATGTATGCTTCATTTGGTGTTCCCAACAATTCAAATATTAATTTGACTTGTCTTTTAGCTGAGTTAATTTAAAATGAAAAATTACTGGAATCTCCTCTTAAGAAGGGTTTCCTCAATAGCAATTCAGCCAAAATACATCCGACTGACCACATGTCGACTGCAGGAGTGTAATTCTTGAAACTCACAAGCAACTCTGGAGCTCGATACCATCTTGTTTCCACATAATAAGTCATGATGTTGGCGTTGTTTGAAGAGGAAGGGTCAGCCATGGCTCTGCCTAATCCGAAATCACAGATTTTCAAATCGCAATTTCTATTTAATAATAAATTTCTAGGTTTCTAATTTGATTTAACAACAAATAGATACTAAATCTCTATGCAATATTCCTGCAGTATGTAGATATTTCAATCCTCTTAAAATTTAATACAGGAATAATTAGATGTGTTCGTCGGTCAAAACCTGATCGCTCTTGATCACTTAAGCTAGATCTGTTTCTAATAATTCAGTGACCATATAAACATCTTCAAATTCTTCTCTTGATTTTGGAAGAAGCAAGGTTTTTAATTCCACAATCTATGTCACTTTCATGATAATACATTCTCGTGTTTCATTAGTCTAAGAATCTTTAATTCCCTAAGTGTTCTTTTCGCATACAATCTATGTTCGAATGCTCTTTCAATTTTCTTTATAGCAACTTATCTGTCCTTCTCAACCTTGGCATTTTTATCGTCTGCCTAAATAACGCATCCATAAGCACCACTTCCGACTATACAATATGAGATAATCAATACTAATTTCAACTGGTGAGTAATTGTCTTCCAACATGAAGGTATGCTCTTGAAGTTGGAATTTCTTGACTTTTTGTGATTTATTCTAATATTTAGCATAGAGTTATATAATCTTTTATGGCAACTTGAACTCCTACTACATTTATAAATATTATTATCTAATTAAATTTAATAGTAATTACCCCCTCCTTCCAAATATATCTATGAATTGTGATTAGAATCTGACGATTAATAAATTAGATGTACTATTTTTGAATAAACCGACAACTTTAAATTATATTCTTTCAATTTCAATTCAATTATGATACATAATTAATTTATTTGAACAAATAACTAGAAATTTGTCATTGTTTATTCTAAAGGTCTACATTGATCAAACAGATGAGCTTATTAGTTGAATAATCAGAAAATTAGTTAATGTAATTTAATTTTAAGTTTACCAAGAAATTATAAAATTCAAATAAAATTATAACAACTTATTTATAAGCATCTCTGTTTTGATCCCTGAGAGCATGCAAAAGGTGTATAGTCTAAACCTTAATTGGATAGATGTACAATTGCTTAGGCTAGTTTCAAAACTTGATTGAATGATTGGGGGTGTAGAGATCTTTAAATTACTGATTCGAAACATTTAATATATGTATATCTGTCAATAAAATTAATCTAATAACAATGAATTAATCAACTAATTAATAGCATTAGTCTCATGCGGATGATCAAGTTGATTAGCATGGCTAAGGAGCACATGGTTAAGGTTATTAATCCTAGGTAAATGTTTTTAAGACTAATTTAGTAATTAAAATAATCACATCCTGAAATAGAAAAGCAACCAGATGTATGTTATATAATCTATAAATATAGCGTTCTCAACATTAAAATTTGCACAATGATCAGTCTCATCACCAACATTCGAATCACGGTCATTAGGATGGAGATCACTAGAATCACAATGCGAGCCATGATCATCACGAGGGTCATTACAACCCTTTGTAAATGCCTTGTGATTGGGAAATAGCAAGAAAGCATGCATTGTCAAGGCGGACGGCATGGGAGAAAAAGAAGGACCCAATGAAAACATTATAAAGTAGTTTAGGATTATGAATAACGTAGTTGAAACGTGTCCCTGCTGTGGATTTGAAGTAGACCGAGAGGATATTCCTTATTGTTCAGATCCCATGGCTTTATCCTTTTTGGGTTCAGGATTTACATTGTTTTATAATTACTTGAAATATTGCATAATTATCCTCTTCATATAACTCTTGGTTAAGTAACTACATAATTTGTACACAAACTTTAATGGTTCATATTGTAGTCACATAAAAAGAGAGAAGATGGAAGGACATATAATCGAAGAGCCATATTGTCCTGATAGCATATTCTTACAATTATCTTTGGCAAATAAACTTGAGTAATTAAAATACCTAAAATAGCAATCGAGAAGCTCTTGAAATGATGCAAGTCTTAAATTTCATTAGTATTTTCATAATAATGTTTGTTCTCATTTATTTCAGAAAAAGTCAAAGATAAATAGATACTACTATTGATGAAGAACAATTGACTCCTGCAGATTATACCATTTGTGTTAAGAATATTCCTACGGGTTTGAATGTGGATTATAAATATGAACTAAAGAATTTATTTGAAAATTATTCCGTTTTGGATTCGTCTAAATAAATTATTGTTAGAAAAGTAGTTTTAGTTTATGATATAGAAGAAATAATAGTATTGGAAAAGAAATTAGATGAATTATTACAATCAAAGAAGGATGCTATAAAATAAAGTAATTTTAACTTTCATCATGAAAGTGTGTAAAAGATAGATGAAGAAATAGAACATTTGGAGCATCAAATCCATAAAATAGAGGAGGAATATGAAACTCATAACACAAACTTTGCAGGAATAGCCTTCATATCTTTTGATGATGAATCTATGAAGTAATTAGTGTTACAAGATAATCCTCATACTCAATGGGAACGAATGAGATCTCATGTAAATAGAGGCAAATTAAGAAGTCTCACAAATAATGATTTATAGTGGAATGGATAAAAACTATTTTTAGAACAGGCACCTGAGCCAAATGATGTTGATTGGGAATTTATTCATATTACTACTAGTGAGAAGATATTTAAACGAGTGAGAGCTTGGGTATATTACATTTTATTTGAAAGTGCTGCCTTTTTCATTATTTACTTAATATCTCATAGATTAGCTTTATTGGGCGATGAGGCTCATGAAGAAGAATTGAAAGGAAAATTGGATGAAGATACTAAAAGGAAAATAAACATCATGTCATTTAGTATTTCAATGACAATAGTATTATTCAATAAATTTGGAGTCGCTAAAATAGTTCATTATATTGTTGACGATGAAAAAATATCAAATAAAACAAAATTTTAAATATCTTTCGTTTATAAATATGCATTAGCATTGTTTTTGAATGCAGCCATTATAAGTTTTTTGGTGGACATTGTAATACTCAAAAATGTCAAAGGAGCTGGAGGTTTCATCTAAAATGAAAGTCAAATCTTTGTGCTTAATGCCATTTTCCCTCCATTCATTTGGTGTGTGGATCCATGGAGTTTATGCAAGAACATTTGGAGAAAATACATTATGTCAAAGGGGGACAAAGCACTTTTAACTCAATAAGAGGCCAACAAATTAATGGAGGAACCAGACTATCTCTCTGCAAAACGATATTCGGATGTTATGAAGACTATGTGGTTTACATTTATGTATGGCACTGCAATACCTTTAGGCACTTTATTCAGTGCGTTCGGAATTCTAATCTACTATTTCGTTGACTACTATAACATATTGAGAAGGAGAACTGTTAAGGAATCCATAAGTATACAGCTCTCTACAGGTACACATGATGATTGATTATTAGAAATGATTGAAATGTTAGAGTATATTATTGCCTGGTGTGCTTTTGGAGAAATGATTATGACTTACACTTTTTTCAAAGAAGTCAGCAAAATAGATATTCTGCTTATTGTCTTGGCAATATTATACTAGTAATTGCCTATGGAGGATATATCTGAGTATCTCTTCCCAGTTGAAAACAATGAGGAAGTATATTCTTGAGTTATTTAGATAAAACCTTATGCTGAAGGGAGTGCAAGCTTTGATACTGATTATGATAGGGAGAATCCTGTTACTAAGCACAAGGCTTTGGCCCAATGGAATAAAAAATAATAAAGTGCTGAGAATCCGAATCCAAAGAACAAAAAGATTTTGGCCTAACAGGAAGAGTTTGGATATGCAGGAGATGGCCATTTCGGTCGTAGATGATTAATATTAGAAATATATAAAAATTTATTTTTAATTAATTAAACATTTTTAACATGAGTGAATTTAAACAAATGGAGATTGAAGTATTGTTTGAGTATTTCATAGTCGTACATTTTAAATTTCAAAGCGAGACACACTGAAATAATAAAGCAAAAACTGTAGAAGTTGCACGAGGAAGAATCTGCGGATTAATTGTAACCATTTTATTAAGCTTTCCTAAAGAACTGTAGAGACTATTTGCATCAAAAATTGGTAAGGATATGGGTATATCTCTAGAAATTGACTTGTAAAAAGGTTCTAGATGAAGACCTATTAGAACTTTTAAAAGTAAATATTTTTTTGGCTGAATTATCTTATTCAATATGCAAGGAAGTCCCAGAGCTCAAATCCTATCCTCTTAGTAAAACCTATAACTAATTTAAGCTTTTAGTGAAGATATCTACGAATGCTTGTCCCTTTCGGAACTTTACGATTACTTTAACAATTTATATAGTTAGATATCCACAATATCAAAATTCCAAGACGAGAACAAGTATGTTTTACTGAGAATTTGCAATTCGATGCTCAAAAGATTGTCAACAACCCATGACACTTTTTTGAGAGGATAAGTTTAAATATTCTTGACCCAAATATTCTCAACAATTCATCCATCCTTGAGGAAGAAGCCAATCAATATAAGGGATAGAGGATTTGATGAAGAATCAGTCAAAGTGAATGCCTCATTGCCGTATTCCTTTTATAAAAATTTTTGGACTTTACAGAAATATCTAAATAATTCTGAATTAATATTCAAAAACAAGGTAGAGTTTGACGACAATGGAGAAGAAGCTGGATAGGTTACACAAGGAGTGTCTGAATCTCAAAGAACAAAAAACCTATAGGCTGTGATAAAAGTCATTATGAGAGCTTTGCAATATTTCAAAGAAAATCCTTTAGAACCTGAAATCATAACAGTGAAAAGGTTTCCTAAATTCCTCACAAAATATTCTTTATTCAAGAATTAATTAAATGATCCCTACTTTAGAAAGTTATTCTTGAATTAAGTTTTATTGTTTATTTTTGTAGCTGAACTTGAGAATCATGAAGTATAGAAATCCTGTTAATATTTTAGAAATAATTCATATAGAATTTGAAAATTGAAGTACAAAAATAATTAGATGATTTAGGAGATAAATTAGGAGAGAAGGTTCAACATTTAATTGACACAGAACGAACTTGGGTATTCTATTGTAATATCTCAGCGACTTTGGGTGACAGAAAAACAATGCTTTGATGATGGCTATGAAAAACTGAGTATTAAGGCATCTGAGAAAGCCAAAAAGAAAAGACTAGAAATACAGAAGCGAATCTATGATGACCTCAAATATAAATAGACAGATGCATTTCAATAAATTTTACAAGATTAGGGAAGACCTTACAAAATAGAAACTAATCCTATTGAACCAGGATTAAATTATTATTTAAATGAAGTGTTTTATTAGTTAGATCAGAATCGTAAAATTGCTGACAATGAAAGATGTAAGAATTTGAAAGATTATGCATGGAAGTCAGTTAGAGTCATCTCTAAATTCCTTTTGAAAGAATTAAAAATTACTAATCTAATTACTTAGGAATTGAAACCATTACCTAATTTGGAGGACATTGTAGAAAATTTGAAGAATGCTGGAAATGAGATGACAGCAGAAAGATTATAATAATCTAATAATAATAACAATAATAATAATAATAACAATAATAATAACAATAACAATAACAATAACAATAGCAATAATCCTGTTACAATCAAACCTGTTCACATAAATTAATAAATATCAAACTAGAAGTGAATTATAATTTTAAACATATATACAATTAAATTATTATTTAATACTCTAATAAATGGAATTAGCTTTTCAGAAAGATTATAATTTTCCCGGTAATATAATAGATCTCACGGATTCTCAGCAAGAACATGAAGAGGACTCACAATAGTATAAACCCCTTGATGGACTTACTGAAAGGATTTTGAGGAAACGAAAAAATTGTCCATTAAATAAATCACTCTATGAACAATTATTCTCTGACCCTATTTATAAAAGCTGTATTCAAAACGAATTCCTCTTTATCAAGCATCTAGAGTCACTTGGTTTCACCGATATATACGATTATTTGAAACATTGCAATAAACATGGAATCCTCCTTGAAGACGAAGCATTCAAAAGTATCTTAAATACAATTTGAATTCTAGAATACAACCTAAAGCCTCCATAATCGAAATATAACTTATATTAATGCAAAATCATTCACGAGAAAAATATCGATTTTAGAAACATACAACAAATTTTGAGTGGAATGAAATAACTCAAAAAGACTATGAAACTTGAATCAAAGTCTAAAAAGGATCTAAATATTGAATTTTATTAAACTAATGATACTACTAGCAATATTGTAATACATTAAACTAAATAACATCGATATATTGCACCAAATTTAATTAATAAAATGCTCTATGAGGTAGAACCATTGGATTAAGAAATTAATGAAAGCTTAATTCACCATTGCTGGGAACAGTATAGAAAGTTTTATAATAAATGTCTAGCAGAATATCATGCTATGTTAAATGGGAACCACAATGAGTTGGAAGATGAATTATGTGAAACTAATAAAATTGATTTTGATCAAATGTCACAAGATTCTTTAGCACCATGGTTTGTAGATCCTCCTTATGAAAGGAAACCCTAATATCGATCTATGAATTTGTCTTACTAAATATAACACTTGAAAATTTTATAATTGTCTGTTATTTGATTTAAATTTTAATCTTATAATCAGAATTATTATTATTATATATTTCTAATAATTTATTATAAAGAGGAATGATGCTCTTTCAATTTATTTGTATTTATGCACCCTTAATCATTAGGATATTATGAAGCAATGGCAATTCAAATGATTAGTTTCACAAGAGACTAAGATCATACTTAATCAAGTCTTCAATTATTTTGGGAATATTTGAAGGCTTCCTTTGAAATCTTGGCATTTTATAAAAGGTGAATTTTCAATACTTCTATTAATAGAGTAATTCATTATTTTTATAGTAGGATTTACAAATTTCATTATTTTCAAACATTATCACTTTTTAGGATTTTGTCAAAATGGTTATATTATCGTATGAAGATAAATTCAATCAACTAGATGCGCATTTATATTCATTATTTTGTTAAGTACAACGTATGAGGAATGAAATGAATTTTCCATCATTAAAATATTTGATTTTCAATATATACAGATTCCTGCCTCTAATTTATATATTAAAAATAGAAGAATATGATTCTTTCAGTTGGATTAAGTTGGATGAACATCAAATTCTAACAAATTGATTATATTATCATAAATATATAAAATTCAATATAATTTATAAATTTATTGATAATTCCAATATTTTTTTTTTTTGATATCTGAGACAAATAATATTTATATATCATATTATCAACTTTGAATTAACATTAATTGTTTTACCACTATTAAAATATTTTGAAATTTAAAAATATAATATTATATTTTATTTTTGCTCATATAACGACTAACTTCTCGACTAAGAATGACAACCAATATTAATAAATAAGTTTATTGAGAGTATAACAAAAGAGAACTAGCATGTTTGAGAATAAAATTTTAAAATTAAATTATTTACTCAAGCTACTTTAGTTTAAAATTATAATAGAGCATCTGAGTGTTAATTGATAATTGAATTATAAACGAAACATATTACTTATCATCACTCTTCATGATGAATAGTAATAAAAGTAGTGTTATGATACTCAAAATACAAGAAGGTGCTTTAAGAATTTCTGAATAAAAGTTAAGGTTTTAAACTAAAAATGGTAAGTTAGAGTTATGCAAACAGTAAGAAATTGCTTTGGATGGAGTTTAAAACGTTTCAAATGAAATGTAGAGAGTATTTATGATTTAATTTCATTAGTTCACTTACTTTCATTTAATTAATTTATGGAAATAATTAAATGAAAAACTGGTGAGAATCAATAATTACTGTTAATTGAATAATTGCAATTTTTTACAAAATAAAAATAGTATAAATAAATTTACTTCATTCTGTGCTTTTCTCAGCCAGATGAACAAAACTAGTTGTCAAGCCAGTACTTAGGAAATATGGAGCTTCTTCACAATTTGTAGAGTTTAAAAACTCAAGAAATGTTTTTCTATTTTTCTCTGCCAAATTGGGTACCTTCATTTCTTCCAAGATATTATCCAATTCTAGTTTAAAAATGTTGATCTAAGGCTATATTTAATTGAGTTTACTGTTGTATAATCGTTACTAAGAAAATTAATTTATTTTAAATTCGTTTGAGGATTTAATCCTATATGATTTATGATACATCTGATTAAGCATTCTGCATTGTACTATTTTGGAATAGTAAAATTTAAGGCATTTTATTCAGTAAATGTGATTTCGGACAAAACATTCTCTTCTGCAACTTGCAAACTAGACATCTACTATACATAGATACCATTTTTCATAAGTTGAATACACTTTTTATAAATCTTTAATCTCGGAATACATCGGTAATTTAGCATGAAGTAGATAAAGATTCTATCTTTCTGTTAAAATAACGTCACCAATATGCACTAGATAGAAGAAAGAATATACTTGCTCTAATCTCATCCCTCTATTTCTTCTTGATATTCTGATCTCTAGATATTATTTTAAATAAAATACTGTTTAACGATTAACGAATCAGCAGGTTCATATGAACAATTCACTACGATAGACAATTGTAATACCTATATTTAATCCACTAACAAATATATCTCCCTACAAGATCGAACATGTAGTTTAATTGAACTGTCTCCGTATTGTTAGATTGGATTCCCTTAAGGTTAAGGATGATTTCGATTTTTTAGTGCAGGAGCTCAAAGCATCTTTTAAATATAAATAAATGGTACCATTTCCCATTACGAATATATTAATAAATATTATTACATATGCAATTAAATCATCGATGAGTACATAATATTAAAAATAAAGAATGAATAAATTTGTTATATTTCTGAGTGTTCTTTCCATATCTCTTTGTCTCCAAGCATTTGACGATGAAGCAGATTTAGTCGATAAGAATGAGTTGAATCGATTATTTAATATAAACTATGATGGAAAAGTGTAAGATTCTTAATTAATAATTTAGCTATTCAGGTTACCTTAAGGCAAATAATGATGGAACAGCCTAGTTTCATTATATGTTTTATCCAGCTCCAGTTGATGCATTAAACAAACCTGTAATTCTTTGGCTGAATGGTGGTCCAGGATGTTCTTCATTACAAGGTGCCTTTAATGAAAATGGTCCTTTTGTATTTGTGGCTGGCACTGCATAATTTGAAATGAATAAGTATTCTTGGACAAATTTTGTAAAATTCATTATCTTATAATTAAGGCCAATATGCTCTATATTGAATCTCCAATTACAGTAGGATTTTCATATGGTCCTTAAGGGGATTAGTCTGACGAATCTACAGCAAAATATAACATCAATGCTTTGGTTGACTTTTTTAGTAGATTTACAGAATATAAAAAATTACCATTCTTCATTTCTGGAGAAAGCTATGCTGGAATTTACATTCCAACTCTAGCTAATGAAATCATTGATTATAATGCTGGATTGGCTGCAGATAGTCGAATTAACTTATAAGGTTTGGCAATAGGAAATGGTTGTACAGATCCAACTGAATGCACTGATGACGCCGATCCATTCCAAATACATGTTTACAAATTTTACGGAAGACACAATTTTATTAGTGAGGAATTATATGAAAAAATATTGACAGTCTAAAATGAATGTTATGGAGTCAAAGATGGAAAGTGTAAGGAATTGGCTGACAGAGTAGAAGTAGAAGTTAGTGGAAAAGAGGAAGACAAAATTAAATTCAATCCTTATAATATCTATGGGTATTGCTTCACCTACACTCCAGAAGGTAGTAAAATGAGTTAGAAATTTGGTGGTATGAGGTCACTAAACGAAGATTCTGATATTCCTCCTTGTGCTGATGTCCAAGGATTATATCATCATTTGAGATCGACTGAAGTCAGAAATGTAATAAACATATATAAACTTTAGCTTCTCAAAATCAGACAATAATCTGCTTAATGGGCTGTCTGTTCAAGAACTTTGGGCAATTACCATGTGAATCCTCAAGGATCTTACTATTTATATCAAAAGATCTTGAAGAATCAAATAAGAATTTTGAAATTCAGCGGTGATGTTGATGCTGTTGTCCCCTTAACAGGAACTATGTATTGGGTTGATAAATTGTAGAAGGAATTACGTATTATTTTCCTAATAAATATGAAGATTTGGCTACTTTGAAACCTTGGAGACCTTGGTTTGTTCATGCTTAAAGAGAAGTTGATCCAGACCAAAATGCTGGTTATGTTATGGATATGGACGGTCTTACATTGTTGACAATAAGGAATGCAGGTCATATGGTGCCATTGGATAAAAGAGAGGAATCAGAAATCTTTATGTAGAAATTTATAAAAGATGAATTCTTCCCTTGAGTTTATAAATTTGTTAGCTTTGTATGAGTGTAGAATTCTATAATAATATTTAATAATTAATTAATCAATAGTAATGAGGTCAAAATCATTAACAATTATTCTCCAATTGCCAACAATTGTCATCAATCGGATATCCTTGGTAGATTACTAAAAGAAATAAGCTATAATTTACATGTCTAATGTTTGAATTTTTGGTTTTACTTATTTTTTAAATGTAATTTGTTCTTTCTCTTTCTTTTTCCTCTCATTTCTCAGTGCTTGATGAAAATCGTTGATTATTTTTCATTTATTGTAGTAGAGGACGAGTAAAAATTGGATACATTTTAAAAAGTTTGAGTGTTTTTTTGAGGGGTGATTAGTTTTTCATTCTATAATAGGCTCTACTAAATATCTTACTGTATTAAGAAGTCTTGCTATTTTATAGTGGAGAGAATCTTTTATTCCAAATTCATTAATATTCAAATTGATGTATTGCATAAGAAAGCACTTTTTACTCGATAAAAGCTATTTTATATACATTAACCAAGACAGTATAGATATCGGAGAAGTAATATTTTGGTTAATAGTTAAGTCTAATTAAAAAATCAAGTATGTGATCCCAATGAGTTTACAAACTATAATCGATTGGAAAGTAAACAGAGAAAATCAAAAATTGGAGGCATTTGCAGTATGTTGGAAAGGAAAATGGAAGTTCTTCTATGCTGATTAGAATGTATTATTAAGAGTTAAGGAACATATGGATAGAAAAGTAGCGTATAAAAGCACGGATTCTTTCTTTACAATTATGGAAAAAATAGAAGCCAATTAACAAAGTTCTGTAATTAAATATCTTTAATAATTAGATTCTATTACTCCAGAGAAATGAGAATGATTAAATTTTTGCTTGTAAGGAGATGAAAAAACTGAAAAAATATTCCTAATTAGTATAATGTATTATTATTGTAGTTATTTCAAAACGAAGTTGAAGCACTGAAATAACTGTCTCATAAAAATTTGGTAAAGCTTATTGAAGTCTATGAATCTGAGGATTAATATTAGATAGTGATGTAATATCTAAAAGGTGGTTCATTAAATCAGTGTCTTAAATATTGCAAATTGAAGAATCGAGAGGTAGACGTCATTATACAAGTATATTCTTTATATAAATTCATTAGTAAATTATGGAGGGAATTAATTATATTCATTAAAGTGGATTTGTACATAGAGATATGAAACCAGATAATATAGTATTTAATGATTTGGGTTAATTTTCACAATTAAAAATAATTGATTTTGGAATTACAAAAAGGATAGAGGATTTGGAAAAAGAAAAGGATATGAAATTTGGAACTCCTGGATACATGGCACCAGAAATTTTTGATTACAAATAAAAAATAACCGAAAAGGTAGATATCTTTGCATGTGGTGCTATACTCTACTAAATGTAAGCAATTATCATTATTTTAGGTTGACTGGGTAAAAATTAATACCTGGTAGTAGTTCAAAATAAATATAGGAAAATAATAAGAACTTTAACTTAAGTAGTTAAATACTATCTAAAATAAAACAACCTGACTTCAGAATTCTTGTTTCATAGATGTTAGAAAAAGATCCAGAAAAAAGAATTAGTGCAAGTCAGACTTTAAATTATTTAAATTTGATGAAAATTCCTTCTGTCGGAGGGTCGATATCAATTTAGATACTCCATCATCATGAACCTGTCTAACAATTGCCTAATTTCAAAAAATTGATTGATAAGTTATGATAATATGTTATAAAAATTATATTAATTGAATTCTCAATATAATAAATTATTAATAGATTTATGGTATAAACTATATACTTTTTAAGTAATCACAATCACAGAAAATATTTAAGAAATTAATATATAAACTTTATTGCATTGGTGCCAATATTAATTAAATTATGAATTAATATTAAATATTATTATATGATGATTATTGTACTAAAATAACATTTTCATGATCTGTAGAGGTTGGGTCTTTTGGCTTTGAACACTGTTCTGAACTTTTTGTGACTAGCTCTTGGAACTGTTTTGACAATTGGGAATTTGATTGAGTCACCCTAAAACTAAATTTTCAAATTTTACTCTGTATTAATTAGTCTTTCCTCTCTTGATATCAGCACTCTTTGTTAATACTGATGTTCTGAGAATGTGAATTGTTTATGGCTAAGCTCTATGATTTCCAGCCATTTCTTGATCTAAAATATTGTTCAGCTCATATTATTACATAATTAAGAGACTGCTCCATTTAAGGTTGTGTCTCTAAATTCTTTGTACATATTGTGAATTGTTGTTCTTGATTAGTATTTAAGCACAATTCCGTATGTTTTAACATTTGTGTCTCTTCTTTCAAATAATTCTTATACTGCTAAGATCTATCCATGTGAGGGTCTAAGTTTATTCAACCTTCTCAAATTCCACCTAACCATTAACTTATGCTATACCAGAATCTGCTTTTGGCAGCAACTGTGTTTCTTGCGAAGATTCTCATACTAATCACTTTGGGATTTGGATCTTCCTTTGATGGAAGTCTTCTTCCGGAAACCAAATATTATCTGGTCTAAAACAATAGCGCTTATTTCAATTACTTTCATTTAGAGTGAATTATCTTATGGGTCTTGTGCTGAGTTTTTAACCATTTTTTTTATATTTTAAAAAAAGATTTAATTTCTTACCCAATTTTCATAAACAATAGAATACAAAACTTTTATTATACTATATATATTCAAAATGACCTACACAATGATTATTCCAATTACTCCAATACCATAACAATATTTATTTTAATCATCTCTAATTTAGAGTTTATGCTTTATCCAACAATCTAAAATAGAAGGGTTTTATAAAATAATTATAAATATTCTGCTATTCTCCAATTATACATATTAAATGAATTAATTCACTTCAAAATTTGAAACTCTTATTAAATTTGATTTAGGATTCATAAAATTCCCTAATTTTGTTCTGCCTATATCTTTTTTTACTTTTACTTCTAAAGAAATGAATGTTTGCAATAGTAAGTAAGTTATCTAATAATATTGATATAAATACTATTATTATTTTTATAGAATGGATAATTAAGCCTAAGAAGAAATTAATATAGAAGATCTTCGCAAATAAATTAATGAATAATCTTTTCTTGGAACATTTATTATTTAGGATGTTGAAGATAAAACTCAAATTCTACCTTATGTTTGTGTTGTTTATAACAACAAATATCCTGGATTCTATTTTGAATCAATTTTCAACCATTTTATCAGATTTTCAAATAAAGTGAAATCCTCTTTGTGGTTATCATATAATGATTAACCAATTTAGTGGCATCTTCCCTTTTTTGTTCAGATAGATAAAATTAATGAAGAAGTAGAAATTTTTGTTCATTTTAAAAAAAGACCTGAAAATGTTTTACCTATTTCAGACAACATCTAAGTTGATATCAAGAATAGATATTTTTGGAATCTTAAATAAGCTTGCATGATTAGATATGGTCATAAATGGGAAAGATAAATCTTTTAAACTATCACTATAGAATAATAATATAAAATGTTCCAAAGTTACTCTGATCATATTTTCAATCCTCAATTTTATGAATATTTTGACAAAATTTGGAGTTTGAGCAGTCTATAAAAAGAATAATATCTAAGTATTCCAATAAGAATATTTATTGATGGAAATATGATCTAAAGATCCCATATCTTGAAAGATGCGAAAGAAACTCTTTTAAACATCTTATAACCAATTTTTGAGGAGGTATCTTATGATATTTAACTTTAGAGTTTGAATTATAATGAAGTAAAAGTCAATGTATTAGGTCTGAAGATAAATATGGATTTTCCAATAAGATTACTAGTGTCAACCTTTGTCAATCCAGATGGATTTTGTTATATAGTCATAAAATGATGTTTATTGTGTAATAATTTCAATTTTGTTAAATTTATATCAATATTTTTACTTAAGATTGATCTTATACATTTTAATTAAAACCAAAAAAAATGCTGAAAGCTTAACAAATAATAGAAAAACATAATTTAAAAAAATGATTATAAAAAGATATGTAAATATTTACAAATTATTAGAGATGTTTATCAATAAACTCAAAATAAGGATGAATAATTCAATTCCTTTTAAGCTAATGTCATTAAAAACTTCAGATTTGGATTGTATTTTACTTCTTATACGTTAGGAATAATTTTGTTTTATTTCAAAGGAGTAGTGGATCTCTATCTAGGTTAATTCTCGTCCTTTATTTTTTCAGTGGAATACTTAGAACTAATGCGATCAGGAGTTAAGGATCTTGATTATTTTGAATTAAAAGCTTCTTTTGAAGTTTGACGAGTTCCATTAATAAAGCTTGTATCTTTTTATTATTTCACTGTTTGCTATTTTACAAAGTAGTTATGATTTTTGGATTATGATTATTTTTAAGCTTGATTGTTAATTAGAACAGAGTTCTTATTTAGTTTTGGTGTAAATGGTGTTTTTTTTAATTCATCCATTAATAATCTTTACTCATTTATCAATTTGTTTTGATTTGACTTCTAAAACCTTTCTAATACATCATTATCTCTATATTATTTTTTGGCTATCTTCGCAGATTATGGATTAAGACTTGGTTTGAATGTGACTCCTTCTAACTCCTTCTAAATTTTCTCTTATTACTAATTCTATATATTTTATGTTTTCTTCTCTCTCCAATAATCAACTTTCTGTAAAAATGAATCTACTGATTTTGAATCACTTTATTTTATTTTCACACTCATCATTTCTTCTAAAAGTTTCAATTTTTCATTTTCTTTAATCTTTTCTTATTTTTCAATTTGTCTGATTTTAGCTCTTTCATATAATGATTAATATTCTCCATTTTGAACTTTTTATTTAAGTATTGATTAGCTCTTCTCATTCACTTTAATAGGTGAATATATTTTATCTTTCCGCTACTCAATAATTTTATTCTAAGTTCTATGAATGACTTTAAAATACTATTTACTGCTTATATTTATCATTCATTCTTTCCACAAAATGATTGATCTATTAAGATGTCATTTTAGTTTACGATGTTTAGTTAGGTTATGATGAAACTACAATTGATGCATCTTCTTAATTAATAAGTGTAGGTTTTTTAAACTTTTATTTTTCTAATTTCGGAGGTTCCTCCTTGAGTAACGCATTCAATCTCAAAAGGGCTTAATCAATTTATTGTTAACTTATGTCATTCTAGAAAAATGAATTATTATTATGCATTATTTAACGATAAAATATTATATAGATTTATTCACCCTAAAATCTTTAAAATGTTAGTCCAAGCAGTGGTTTTTAATTCCAAAAACTTCTAAATATTTCTCAACTAACCATTTTCAGTCTTTTAGAGTATTAATGTCACATAAAATTAGGCAACAGACGATTAAATTGCTTTTGTATTTACATCAAAAATAATAATGTTCTTTTTGTCCATTTTAGTTTTTTTAATCTGGAAGTAAAAATCTTGAAACTCTTCGCCATGAACATTTGGATTAGTAATGAGAATTGTTTCTTTTTCAGAAAACTCTAAACTGGAATCATTAGGCATTACCAAATTGTTAGCATCTTTCACAAAAAGAATGGTTTGAGTTTGATCTAAGTAAATAACTACTCCAATTGTTAGCTTTTATTGATCTTCTAAAATAGCAGCATTTTGAATTTGAGATTTTACAAGTTTCTTTAGATCGTAATCAAACTCTATAATTGGTATCAGATCCAAATTATAACTTTAATTCTATTGTATTTTTGAAACTAATGCTTAAGAATAGATTTCTTAATAGTTATTTGATTGAGGAGAAATTGTAGAAATGAATCTTGTTATATCGTCCAAAGTTTAATAATAATTTTATTCCTTCATTTCTAAAAACTGAGTGAACTCATCAAAGTCCTATTGTTTATAAAATTATATAGTTTCTTTCCAAAGCTGTTTACAAGAACGATTTTTATATTTTAGATACTTAATAAGTTCATAAGCCTCTTCAACATTTAGTTTTATAGTATTTATTTTGTAAATTTTGAAGTCTTCTATTTTTTCAAATATGGATGATTGTTTTCTATAATGGTCAAAATAATTGATTATGTAGGCTATTTTATATTTAGCTGCTATTTCAAGAATAATGATTGTCTTCTTTACTTGAGTGTAGTAGATGCCGAAATTAAGTTTGCTTACATCTTAACATTCTTGAATTCGTTATATTTTATTTTTTTTATTTTTTCTAGAATTTAATTCATAGAAACCATGACCAAAATTGCTATAACAAAATGAGTCAGGGTATTATTAGGAGAGTTTAATTTCAGTATTTGTTATAAGATCGCTATAGTTTTGTTGTATGAAATCGACTACGGCTAAATACTCTATTTTTATTATTTCTGAGACAACTTCTCTCATGTGATGTTCAATCATGTATTCTTATTCTTCTGATAGAATATCATCTAAATTGTAACTTAAATACTCTACAAGATTATTGTAATCAAAATTATCTACTTATTCTTCACAGTAATATTGAGAATTTATGTCTTATAAAATCAAACTTTCATAAAAACCTGCATTAATCTGTATTATAAATTGGCAAACTTTGTCTTGAAAAAAATTAAAAATATCTGTTTAAAATTAATTTTCGTATCTACCATTTGGAATAGGTATTTTATTATAAATTAGATAAGTGCAATAATCCTAATGAATAAAAGATTAAAATTTTAAGTCATAGAAATATATTTGAACCCATTAATACTTTGCAATCTTCTTCAAGAGTTTTTTATTGTCAGTAGGATTAGGCAATAAGCTTTGCAATTTACATTAAAAACCATAGACTTTAGGGCAAATAATCAATAGTTATGCTTTATACATATCCATTAGTTATCTTATTCTAATCTTTTGTGCGTGTCTAAGTTACCAGGCTCTTCTGTATAAACCCTAGACGCGAATAAAATCCTCATTAAATTAATTATCTTCTTCCATTCTAATTTTCAATATTAAATTTATATTTATATAAGTCATAATAATTTTCCCTCCCTTATACATGCTACTAAATTCTACTATCATTTGCACATAAGTATATGGGTTTGTAAATGAGAATAGATGGTAAAATAAATATAGATTTATGAATTTGAATTCATCAAAATAATATTTTCATTTATCACCCTATTTGATAATGGACAAATTTCTATCATCAAATTCCATCTCATTCAGTTTCGCCTATTCTTATTGTTAAACATCTCTTTAAAATGAAAAGGGTTCTTTCATTTCTTATTCTCTAATAGATTCATAAAAGAAAGCATGTCCTCCACAAATGGTTGGATCCATCCCTTCTAATTCAATAGTATTATTGACTCTAAGCAAACCCAGCTTCTCCAATATTCTACAAGCTGTATAATGCCAAGCAGCAGACCTATGATAAACCCTCAAAGCATACCAAGCAACAAAGCAAACACAACCTAGCACTTAAACTCCCCATTAGTACGCTCCCTATTCATAATATATTCCCCTCCTTCTGTCAAACCATCCTGGACACATGGCTCCTGCTAAGCCACATCCAGCATGAATAGGAATTGCATCTACAGGATCGTCTATCTGTAATTTATGTAATATTTTAGCCACCAATATGTATATTATTCCTCCTATGATTCCAATTACAAAGGCTGCCCATTACTCAATTTCATCATTAGATCTAAAATCATTAATTGATTGAATACCCTGTTACAGCTACAAGACCAGCCAAATTTCCATTGCAAACCATCACTAAACTAAACCGATTATCTGTATTTCGATTAGTGAAGTAATGGTAGAAGAATACAAACAATCCTCCACTTGCACCACCGACCATAGTATTAGCAATTGAATTTCCAACTGTAAACACTGAACCATCAGATAAAGCCAAAGTAGACCCTGAGTTGAAGCACATCCAAGCCATGTACAAAGTCAAACAAGACAAACAAATAAAAGTAGTATTGGCTGGTTTAAATTAAGATTCAAACTGGGGATTAAATCTATTAGTTCTAGGCCTAAGCATATAAGTGACAACAAGTGCTCCGATTCCAGCTGTTAGATGGATGGCACCACTTCCAGCGAAATCGTGATATCCCAAATCATATAACCATCCTTTATATGCCCAATGGATACAAATTGGGTATATAAATCCAGAGAATAATGCACTTAGAGCAATATAGCCAGGTATCGACATTCTTTCAGCAGCTCCTCCAGAAACAATACTGTTAGCTGCAGCTGCTAATGCTGTATTAAATATAAAATCAGCATAAGATTCAGGATGATCCTTGAATCTGAATCCTGCAAATCCACTTATTCCATTGAATTATGAGTCATTCGTCTTACCCATCATTAATCCATATCCAACCTAAATTATGATGTTTTCATACTATCCACATCATAATGATACTTATGGCAGTGTTCGCATAAACCTTGATTATGATGCTTTGAATGTTCCTGTATCGTACACAGCCTCCCTCTAGAAATGCAAACCCTAACTGCATAATCAAAACGACGGCACTTGATTTAATTCCACAAATTACCCAGTTAAAGCTGTCCAAAAGTGATCCAAGTCATGCTCATAATGTTAGATCTCTTGCTTTATGTCATAATGAGCCTGGTTGAATTAATCGTTCATCTCAATTAATAATAATGCAATAATGATTACATAATATCATGTATATATAATTAAAGAAAATATTACCAATGTAAATACGTCTTAATTGTTAGATGCAATCTCTCACAATTGTTTAACAGTTTCATTAAAGATGATTGCGACTATTTAACATTGAAAATCTAATAGCTTATTATTTATACGAAAACATAAATCAGAGTAGAGAATCGATATTTACTATCCACTTATTTCTATGTATTTGTTCATATTATTAATGATAATATTAATTATAGTATTATTTATTTTACATTAATTTTGAAACATTATAAATATTAAGATCATGAGCACAGTAAAACAAACAAAATAAGTTTCGGATATTTTAAACAAAATACAAGACTTCTATAGAACTCAGAGTTTGAATAAGACAGCAACTAAGAAATTTAACATAAGCAGATAAACTATTAGCAATAAAAATTTATATCTATAATAATTCGAGAAGAAATTGGAGGAAGTTACTGCATTCAATCCCAGGAAATCAATGGTATTATCTAAGTTCAAAGAATATGAGTAATCAAAACAAGAGCAAAATCATAACAAAGACATTGCAACGATCTTAAAAGAAAAATAAAAAATTCCAAAAACTAGAATTTGTCGTCAATATATTAAAACAAAATAATGCAGAATGGGAGCTAATTGTAAATATGCCCACTCCATCAAAGAGCTAGATATAGAATATGCACCAGTCGCTTGGACGGTTCAATTTAATCCTGATCTTTAAATTAAAAGACCCAAAACAATGGGCGAATAAAGATCATACAGAGTTTTATAACCTTTCTAGAAATCAATGTAATGATATTATTATATATACGTTAAATTTTTTATGAAATATCCAAACTCCCATTATTTTGCATAACTGATCGATCAGAAATTATAATGAAGTAATATTAAAATTTATCTAATTTTGGATTAACTTGTAAAATTCGTGTATTAGAATTTATCAAATTCTATTCATTTAATATTATACTAAATTGCAATTATTATAACCTACTACATTTCTTTAATAAATGTTAACTATCCTAATTCAAGGAGATAATTATCAAATATCAACATAATTCGAATAATAAATACAGAAACAATAGTAAAAATGAAAATGCTTTAATTTATCTATATTAAATATTTTAAACAAAGCAACTCAAATACCGTCAAATGTTAATGGAGCTGTTCTGCCAATTTTCTTACCCCAATTTTGTCTATATATTTTCATACCTGAGGCTTCACTTACTTCTTCAGCTGTAGCATTACTAAAAGAAATGAAGATATTTATTACTTTGTTACAGCCTACATAAATGCATAAAGTAGAGAATAAGGAACTTAATTCCTTGATCTAACCTTGAAGCTACAATGATGCATTCCAGTCAACATTAGCATTGATGCAATTTATGGATTACCATAGGCGTTGAATCCTAATGGTCTTGGATTTATTTCAATTTCTGCATCATTAAATCTTCCAGTTAGTGGAATAGGACATGTATGCCATAAATCAAGACTAATTGGTACTAGGTTTCTCTTGGCATCTATTTTTGCTCTTCTTAAGGCAGTTTCAAAATCTTTCCCTTTTCCTTTTCTAAATTCAAAATTCAATATGATACCCATATCCTATAACACCATTTCCATTTCCAATAAAAATTAGTTGTCTGAAAGAGTTGATTCTTTATAAGGTAGTTACTTAAGTATTAGTGTCTCTATCAATGAGAACAACGAAAAATTGATCCTTGATTTTGAAACCTGAACGATTGACATTTTTTGGGTATTTGTATCCTCCTATTTTTTCTACAAATTTATCTTTTTCAGGAACTGAATCATCATTTACTTAATTTTTATCTATAATAATTTCTCTTTTTAATGCTTTTTTTCTTTTATCAAGAAATGATTGTAGTTGTCTGAATTCCTCCTCTCTTAATTAATTGGTTTTGTTCAAAGGGGATGTTGCATAATGAGTTAAATCTAAAATATTTTTATGCTTCTTTTTGTATTCAGCTAAAAAATCATCAAATCCATCATCATATTTGGATGTCCTATGAATTGTGTTATAGAGCTTGTCTAATGTAAATATATGGGATTGATACTCTCTTAGATTTGAGTGGTTAAGAAATCTTATAGATTATGAACATCATCTACAGATTATTTTTATTTAATCCTTGAAGAGAGTTTGGTGATCTTGTTTGCAGCCAATTTATTTGAAATAGCATAAGCCATTTTGATTGTGTTTAAATGCATCCTGACAATCATTGATATAAATTTTAATATGAAATCTATATATTATTTATATAAACATTTTCCTTTCTGTTTACTAAATAAACTCATCCTGTTCATGTCAGATGTAAGTAAGCTAAGAACTTATAAATAAAGAACTTCCGTTCAATAGAAGAGTTAAAAATTGAATTCTGAAAGGTTAGAAAATTATCAATCATTAAATATTAGACGATCTCTGAATACAGATTTGAATACTTATTTTCCCAAACAACCTACATGGACACAAAAGTGTATCAAGAATGCTAAAAGATGTTCATTCAATGATTCAAATGAACAAGACAAGAGAGGATCCATGAGCACTGTAGCAACATTAACAACTATGAGCACTGACTTTTAAGTATAGGATGATGATCCAATTGAAGAGATGAGTTCATCGAGTGACGAATCTTAGAAGAAGATGAAATTCAAAACAGAAATGTGTAAAAATTGGAGTCTTCTTGGTAAATGCAATTATAGTAATAAATGCTAATTTGCTCATGGCGAGAATGAGAAGATGAGTAGACAATCTAATACAAAATACAAGTCTAAATTATGTAGATCTTTCCATTAAGAATATGTTATATCAATTAGTATCATTAGGTATGCTTTTATGGAGCTCGATGTTAATTTATTCATGAAAGCAGAAGCGTAGAACAAATTAAGAAAGACTACAAATCATAAACGGTTTTCTATTAGCCTAGTTCGTTATAATTCAGATTGAAATCTCTTCAATCAATTACAAGTGATTGGAAATAACAAATTCCACTCCAAGAATGCCTCAAATTATGGATGACAAAATTATTAATTTAAATCAATCTTTCTTCAAGTAGTGAATGAAGATATTTATAGAATTATGATTATTTATTTATTATTAATTATGTTAACATGATTGTAACAGAAAGGTAAGTTGTTATTGCAGATCAATCCATCCTAAATATTTAAGTTAACTATATAATAGTGTTAATCATACTAAGTAATATTAAAACTAACATTTTAATAATTAAGAATTTAGTTCCTATGGAGAAAATAATTTATTAAAATATTGAATCTTTATTATTAATTAAATATTTTAGAAATAATCTGTGTATTAATCAAAATGCATATTCTTGCCAATAATGAAACTATTTTTTTAATATTCATCTCATCATTTTATTATTTTTGACTGCAAACCTCCATTTGCAATTTTTTATAATAATAGATCTGTGTATGAATGATTGAATATATTAGATTTAAAAACTGATAATTAGGAGATCTTATATATATATATTTTTATGAATCATGCAATCGAATTAAATCATCCTATGGATTTGTTACTTAGTGTTTACAATTTTCTTAATTAAGTGCTGCTTCTTAGCAATTGACAAAAATCTAGATCAGCAACCTACTCTAAAGGATGTCCTTCATCAGGAACTAACTTTAATGTTTCAATAGATTACCTACATCAAAATCATCAACCTAATTAACAGCTAATTTTGACTACCTTCTGTTATTGGATAATTAAGATTGAACCTTTAGATCCAGTTCACTTTAGGATCTTAATTCTATGATTGTTCTTAATGAAGGCAATTCCACCTTTTTCTTCTTTATAACATTCAATTATTTGATTTTACTCTTGATATTCACAAACCAATGATGTTTCATACTATCAGATATGGTAATTCTTTGCTCTATTATTTAAGAAATAAATACTAGGATTGGTGTATAGTAATTTCGATAATAAGTCTAGTTCACTTAAACTAATGTTTTTTTCAATTGATTTATCAAGTGGGGAGTTGCTCTCAATAGGATTTTAGGAAAATTTCTTTTACAATAATTTCTAGATTTTGGTAGTGTCAATTTCATATTTGTCAAAATGCTTCTCACTTGGTAATTGTGTTGGAAATGTCATAAAGTAGAGCAAGACACCCAGACTATATAGATCAGATGTGATGTTTGGCGGTACTCCATTATAAAACTCTGGTGCTATGAAGCCTTCGATTTGTCTATTCAAAATCCAGTCTAATTTATCATTTATTCTGTATTGCTAGGGATAAGAAAAGAGTTGATACCTTGAAGGACAAGTTAATCATAAAGATCTGCAGGAGTTAGTTATTAGAGTTGATGATTATGTTTAGAGGGTTTAGATTTCCATGATAAAATTGATGTTTATCTAAAAATTTAAGCAGTTGCAAGATTTAATAAACTATCTAATTGAATAGAGATGGTAATTACTGAAGCTATTTGAACTTCGTGTAAGGGATTGGTTAAAATTAAATTATAGAGGGACTCTCCTTTGAAATGTTCATATAGGATAAATAAATATGAGTCATCTTCATAAACTCTCCTTAATTACACCAAGTTTTAATGCTTAATAGATCGGAGCATTTAAATCTCATTATGCACTACTTCTTCTATTTCAGGCCATTATTCAAAATCTTCCATCTTATAAATTTGAACAGTGAATTGAGCATTGTTCTATGTGTCGATAATAAAATGATTACAGATTTCTTATAGCATTGATATATTCCAGGCAACATTCTATCGGTTAATTTGTACTTCCCAAAGAAATCATTTAATTTACAATATTGTTTCATTAATTTATACCAATTTCTATACTGAATGAATTATGAGAAGAACAAGTAAGTGTTTCCCAAATTGTTAGAAATTATTAATCCATAGGTTTTTGCTTCTTTGTATTAAATTAACTCCTTTTAGATACTGCAATTACTCAGTATCAAATGAGTATGAATTTTATCATGTAAGCAGATTAGAATATTAGGATAGATATGAAACAGTTTCTCAGAGAATTCCTATTTCTATTGATTGTAAGTAAAAACATTCCCTGATTGAAGTTGAGGATAGAGTAAAATCTTTTTCATGTATTCTTCTCCAATTTCTTTAAGATTTGATTTTTCCAAATCTTTTGGAGAAAATTTACCAACAAGATTTAACAACCAACCAACTGAATTCTATTACTAGTGATCAGAGGAATTCATTCTATCTATGTATTAATATAAATTTAAATTATTTATCATTATTTTACATGCAAAATTAAATGAAGCAGGAAAAAACTAAAACTAAACCAAAAGAATAGAGGGAAGAAATCTTACCCATAAATAAAATAATCTAGAAATGCGAATAGACATTAGGTAATTATTATGCCTATCAAAAGAGATCACCTAACTTGAACAGCAGGAATTAAAAAAAATGTTTTCTATTGTTTCTGACAAAATGCATTAAGTTAATTAAAAGATTCTAACTTTTGAAAGAGAAGAAAGACTTTTGAGAAGGGAAAATGATGAATGGGAATTCTACTTGAAGGAGAAATCCTAACTTTTGAAATAGCTCACATTATTAATCGATTTAATTAGTGGCAAAGATCATTCCTTTGAAATTGACATCTCAACCAACCCTGCCTATAAAGAAATTCAAACATTTTAACCGAAGAAAATACAGTTAGGAGAAGATCTATTAAAAACCATTTAGAACGATGAAACATCAATTATTAAGCTTTAAGCATAATTATAGGAAATTGAAGAAGAAACCAAGCTTCTAAGACAATCAGGGGCTTTTTGGAATTGTGTTCGTTGTAATCTCACATTAAAAGAGGGCTTTAATGAGGAAGTATATAACTATTTTATATGAGACTTGCATATTTCATCCCGGTAAACTCAAGTATTTTTCTTGCAGAACTTGTGGAGGAGATGAATACTTTACATGCTGTAATTAGTGTAGAGATTGCAATCCAGGTTGTAAAAAAGGCTTGCACAAACCTTGAAACAGTAGATATCTTATTAAGATTTTAATGCTTAAATTTAATAATTAATTTAATTTTCATTTATCTAGTGCCATTTTGTGTCCTTTGATCATTTATTATAGATCACTTATAACTTTTAACTTCTTATCCTTCTACTATCTCTAACATTCCTCTTGATTCTTTATTTTTTCTAATTGTTCTTTTTAACATTTTACTTTCTCCAATTCACTTGTAAAAGTTTACTTCATGATATTTTCTTTCTAAATATTAGATTACAATTACTTCATGATATTGGTTTAACAATTTTTTATTTTCGTATCTATTATTCAAGTATTTATTTTTGTAATTGTCCTTTATCCTATCAATTTATTCTAATTCTTTTGTTAATTATTGAGTTTGCACTTTTAATTGTTGATTATTTTCAGATAATTATGCATTTTCATATTCCAACGTTTTTATCTAATTCTAAAACTCACTTACTTTTGTCAAATTTTATTCTAATTTTAATTATTACTTTTCAATCTATAATTTCTAATCATTTATTGAATTTTTATTCTCTAATTCCTTATTTTACAAAATTCGAAGTTCATTTTCTAATTCATTTATTCTTTATTATGCAGAAAATAACAAGTTCTCTTAATTCTTGTATTGTTATTCTGTTAATTGGAATTCCTTAGAACGATGATTCTCAGTTTCTTCAAATTGCTTCTATGCTCTTTGAAGTGTGAATTCATTTTCCTATTATAACTAAGTGAATTTCAATTTGATTTATTCATTTTATTATCTTTCATACTACAACTCTAATTCAATTTATTTCAGATTTCGTTTTAATTGATCGTTTTCTCCTTGAATATTTTATAATTGTTCTTAAGTTTTGGCTAATAACTGTCTTTCCACTTATAATTCCTTGTTAATAACTAATATAAATATATATTTAAAAATACATGATTCAGAATTGATTGGTTTATTGATTGTGATGACAGGCTCAAAGTATGGTTGAGATTGTTATAATTGATTTTCAATTTTAGATTCTAAATCTAATATCTTTTTCTTTAATATCAATTCTTTTGATCTTTATTCATTTATTTCTTTCTCCCTATTTTCTACTTTCAAATTAGATATTCTTAATTCCTCCTCTTATCTAATGATTTTCTCTCGGATTGAAAACGATTATTCTTACTCTGAAATCATTTGATACTTCATTTAGGTTATCTACTATTCTAATTTTTAAATTTTTGTGTTAGCTGTCTACAAATGAGATTTCAACGAAGTTAATTCATATTATTTTTATTCAACATTTCCATCAAGCTCATTCTTTTTTTAATAGATTTACTATGATAATTCCCTATTAGAAATTTATTCTTTGTCTAATTGTAACTTCAATTTCATATTTTCTTCTTTTATTCTATCAGCTTGATCTCTAACTGATTCTAACTCTCTTTGTAATCTTTAGGATATTTCCTACTCTGGAATTTCATACTATCTTTTTTAATATATCTCATTTTCTATTTGTTACATTTTAAGACTGATTCCTTTATAATCTTCCTTTAACAATTCATTTTCAATTAAAATTTTATCATTTTCTTATTTTAATCTTTCATAATCACTTAATGGAACAGTATTCATTTCATGCTATTAATAAGATTTTCCCAATTGATCTAATTTTGTACTATATTCGGATTGCATTATTTTCATTTCTTTAGTTTGAGATTTTAATTCTTTTTTGACTTACTTATTTTCAAGTTATTTATCATAAATAATTTATTATAATTCGTTGATTTCATCAGTCAAACGTAAATTCTGTTCATAATATTCGGTTAACAATTTTTTGACTTCCTTACTTCTATAATACAATATCCTATATTCTCTTAATAATTTTTCTTTGGTTACAGATTCTAATTTAGTAGTCAACATCAAATTCTCTTCTCTGCTTAATTACCCTGCATCAAGTTCTTTTATTTTTTTTTCATTATCCATAAACACTTCATATTTAGATTATGCATTAGCGGGATTCATTTTCAACTTCATAATCTCCTTTGTGTCACTAGAATCTGTCAATGAACTTGATTCCTCACAGGGAGATTCAGTTCTTCGATTTCTAAATTATTTTTTGGAAGACCCAATAGAACGGGATGGACTTAAATTATTTAATGAATTACCTTGAACTTCTATCAACAGTGTTCTTTGCAATTCTTGATTCTAAAATTCTAACATTAGGTCTTGAACTATCTCTTTGTTGTTACATTTCCTTAGAGAAACTTCCCAATTTATTTTCAAAGGTCTTCTTTTTGAATTTTGGGGTGTTTTAAGTTTTTGAAGACTTTAATGGCTTTTTAGCCTTCTTTGAAGATTTACTTCTGCTTTATTCAAGACTTTTTAACTATGTTCTTGATTGACTATGTGAGCTCTACCCTTTTTTACTTTAACTCTTCTTAGACTTAGTTGATTTTCTGCTTTTATTATCTGAGACTGGTGTTTTTAGACGATCATCAGCAGTGAAAGTTCTAAGTTTCTTTTTCATTTTTGCTAATTTTTTTCCTATATCAGTCAATTATGTCAGTGTCTGATTTTTGCCTGTGAATTCATTTTGTTTAACATCTTCGAATAAACTCTTTTATTCTCCCTCTCTATCCTTAATCCATCGTTTTGAGATATTCAAAGGTGGGTTGCTTACCTTCTGTAAGAGATTATTGATTTATTGTTAAAAACGATTATCGCTTTTTCTTTGATGTTTAGAGCTCTAACTCATTCTGGGTTAAGACATTAATTTTAATTATATTGTTAAAATTTGAATTTTTGATATTACTAATAAAAATTAAACTTATTTTACACATTGTTCTTTAAACCAATCTTCACAAAGCAAGAGGGCAATTTTAAATTTAAATAGATTCAACAAATACACGATTAGGAGACTTATGCTGTATTGATAAATTCAATAATTGTTATTTGAATCATAAAATAGAGAGATCTATATTAATTGAGTTTTATTAATCTTTTAATATTTAATAAACTAAATTTGAATTAATTAACTGATAAATGAGTACGAAGAGAAAAGACATCATAAAACTTATGAAATCGATGAATATAGATCCAACCACATTTTCTGAGGAAGATATAAGATAATTTGAATAAGGCTAAGTGATGATGAGTGACAGTGAATCAGATAGTATGAGGGATTCGGTATCCATAGCTGATATTGAGAATTATCAATAGACCAAACATAACAGAGGGGGGAACACTCATGATACAGTCAATATGAAAAATGTAATATTGTAATCGATCCATTTTTAGAATTATTCATCCGTTGTGGGCATGCAAGAAAAATAGATAGCTTTTCTAAATGCTGAAATCAAACGAATTTAAGCAGCCAATGACGCTGATAGACAAAGAGTTTTTGCTAATCATCGAATTGAAACAGATAAACTTTTAAGTGAAATCAAATAACTAAAGTCTAAGATGATCTATCAAGAGTCTCAATTACCAGGAATAAGAGAGGCTTTGGCTTAAGTTAGAGATATGCTTGCTGGATTGGTCCCAGAAGCTGTGTATTTGAGATTGCGAGATATGAATGAGAAGGAAATGCCTATTTAAGATTGGGTGTTGGTTTAGGTTTGGGAAATTGTGTATCCATTCAAAAAGGAGGGGGAGTTTTAGAAAAAGGAAATATTGGCTTTAAGGGAAGAACTCAGGTAGATCACAGAGAAACATTAATTCTTATTGAATGATTTGGAACATGGTTAAAAGATGATGGTGGATAGAGAAGAGGATATTAGAAGACATAAATTAAATTATGATAATGCTAGAAAGGCTTTGGAGTTAGAACTAACAAAATCTTAAGAGGAATTAGCCCTTTTGAGAGAGAAAGGAGCAAGGTTTGATGAATTGAGTAGGGATTATAAGAGATTAGAGTAGGAGAAGTTTTTATTGGAAGAGAAGGCTGGTTTCTATCAAAATAATTAAGCTGGAGATAAGGCAGGTGATTAATACAAGGCTTAGGATGATGCCAAGAGGAAGGGAGACCTTTTGTAATAAGACAAGGAATATTTGACTAAAGAGAATATTTAACTGTTGGAGAAGGTTAAGAGATTGGAGGACAAATTAGATAGAACAGAGAAGGAGTATTTGGAAGCAAAGAATTAAGCTTAAGAATATCTATTTTAATTGCTCAATTCTAAAACTGATTAGACTCAGGCTTATGAAAAAAGAATTTACTCAGAAATTGCAGATCTTAAAGAAAAGCATCATCATGAATTGGAAATTGCCAAATAGAACTTGGTTGATATTTATGAGACTCAAATCAAATTCTTGAAAGATGCAAAGGAGGAAATTTAACTTCGAAAAGACAATCTAGAAGGGCAAGTGAAGGAAAAATCAACATTATATGATCATTTGTTAATTGATTATAGAAACTTATAAAGAAAATTAGATGGAGATTTATCTGAATAGAGAATTCAATTGAGATTGAAGGTGGAAGAGTTGGATAGAGTATAGAATATCTATGAAGATACTCTGGCCAATCTTAAAGCTACGAAACATGAAAATGAAATGTTAAGGGAAAAGATCAATGTGTTGAAGGCAGAGTATTATAAGTGTTAGGTAGAGGCTAAGGAATAGATGAGCAACATTAATGCTCAATTGCAAGTTGCAAAAGAACAATTAACTAATTATGAAGGAATTGAAAAGGAAATTGATGATGCCATCATGAAATCAGCAGGCAATGAATATGATGCAATGAATCCTTTATTGGGATTCATGGGTACTGTACCTACATCCTCAAAAAGAAGGATTCAATAGGCATTAAATCTCGCTTAGAGACTGCAAGCAAAATAAAGAGAATCAGAGGAATTGCAAAGACAATTGAGAGATAAGCAATAAGAAATTGAGAGACTATAGGAAGAGACCAAATTATAAAGAGATGTTCTTGACAAAACACACTAACCGTAAATATTCAATAAATATCTATTAGTCATTCCTATCTGGTAGCCCACATAGAGGAAAAAGATAGAGAAATTTTGAAATACAAATCCCTTTTGAAGAAAATGGATTAGGATTATTAGATCTTAAAAGCAGAAAACGATGATATAGCCAATGTAATTATAAGTAGATAAATTTAATAGAGATTCATGAGAGCTGAAGAGGATCTATAGAGATTGAGAATTAAAAGATAGAACCTATAAAACATTTAGAACATTTTAATCGGAATTGCCACAGGTAGTTAGAATGATATGAGATAAAATCTGAGAAGTGCCATAAATGAGATGTCGGAAGCATTAAATACAAAGACATACATTGATCCTCAGAGTGCAATCTAAAAGAAGGGTATTAATTTGCCTTTATTGATAGGTGGAATTCAAAGTAGTTAATAAAAATAGGAAGAAGGTCCTTCTTGGTATTCAAAACTGAAACAAAAATAGAATAAATGACATCATATTTTTAGTACTACATAATTAAGAAGATAATAATTATAATAATAATTAAATATTTATATTAACTTTTTGTGATTGTGTATGAGAGATAAAGCGATGGTTGGTTATTTGTATAGTAGTCAATTAGCATTGATCTCTTAGATTAATTGTGTTTCTCTGAGTAGATCGTTCTAAAGGGATTGAACGTCTATGTGAATAGAACACAGACAGACTTATTATATGTGATTGAATATTTGCTCTTAAACTATAATAGATGATTATATTTAATTTATAAAAGATATATAATGAATTAAGGAGAAGGAGAAGTCAACGAACCTGAACATTATGAGAAAGTAGTGAAGTATATCGTTAAGAATACACCTTTTGGATAAGCTAATTTAGTGATTAAGGATTTGTGTAAAATCATTGGGAATATTAATCCATAGCATTCTATTATGCTACAAGCATTGAGGGATCATAATGAAGAACACTTGGCTTTATTTAAAGGCTAAAACACTTAAGTAAGCGTCTCTGATGACACTATAGATCCTTACAAACGTTCTAAATTCTTAAGAGGACTTTTATGTAGATTAGAAAAACAATGAGACAATTTAAGTGGATCATGAAAAATTAGAAATCATATCCAGATCCTAAGTTGAGTTACCTTCAGATCCAGAATTGAATCAACTAAGAGATGCACTTGAATAATAACTCAATCTTTATTTGAGTTAACAATTTAATGAGAAAGTTTGTGGAGCATATGGTATATTTAAAATACATGTAATTAGTTATGTATCAAGGTGATGCTTCAGACTTTACTTTCTATCTAGGAATTACAGCAAAAACAATTAATTTGCCTAACTTTTTGTAAGTTAATACATAATATATATAGCTGTGGAAGTTGGATCTCAACCTGGGAATTCACAAAAACACAATTGAAAGGTGATTTGAAAGTGCAAGCACATTATTATGAAGATGGTAATGTTTAATTAAAAAATGTAAATACCTTCTCAGAAGGAATCAACGTAGATTTGTCTGCAGCAAGTGAAAGTGCCAAATAGATTATTCACACAATCACTAGATTAGAGAATAAACATTTAACAGGAATGGATAATTTATATAATTCCATGCCAGACATATTCTTTAAAGCAATGAGAAGACCCCTACCAATTACAGGTACTAAGATGAATTGGAATGAAAATGTTCACAAACTAGTAGCAAATTTGAAGTAATGAAATTACAATAAAATATTAATCAATAAATTAATGATTCCCTTGAACACTATCATTTTTGGAGTAAGATTATACTCAAAAACTTTCAATATTTTCTAAAACTATTTCTTCTGATAAAATCTAAAGTATCATAAAAATAAATAAAAAGGCTTGACCACATATAATAAAATACATTTGATTATATCATTCCTGTTACATTTATTCATTGCTGAACCCATTTTTTTAAAGTAAACTCAAAACTTCTTTTTCATTATAGGATTTACTCTTGACTTCTTTTCCTTATTAACTGATAACTACAATCTCTATTTTAGAAGGTTGAGGAGATGATGTATCCATAGTTTTCACAAGTGCTTTTATTGCGATATCTAATCCCTATTGAACTCTAATATAATAGTACTTATTCTAAGGTTAGATTTTCTTTGTAATCTTGTTTTAAATAGCTATTAGCTGCTAAATTATTTTTCCCTATTGCAGTTGCTTTCCATCCTGCATAATTACCAGATGGATCAGTGCTAAATAATTGAAAACCATTTTTTTTATCATAGCCTGCAAATAGGAATGCTGTTCCAAAAGGTCTCTACCCACCCACTTAGGTTTTGTTCTATTTATAATCGCATATGTTTATTATCAATTCTTCTAAGCCAATGTTATCTTAAAACTAATATCTAGGATTTGATTCATAATTTACCTATGATTGGCAGCAGCTTCTCTGGCATAATTAATCAAAATATTTGCATCAGCTGTATGACCCGAAACAACTGAGAAGATGTGTCTATCAATTGGATAGATTTTCTCAGAATGTTTTGAATGTTCTAATAGATGTGATACTTCCTATTTTTCTGTAGCCAAAATCATTCCCTCATTAGTCAATACTCCAAGTGCTGAGCCTGTTTGATTAATTGCCTCGATTGCATATTCGACTTATTTCAATCTGCCATCTGGAGTGAAAGTATTAGTTTTTTAGTCGTATCTCCTTGACATTGAATTTAATTTAAATTAATATATACTGGTGTTCAAATAAAATTAAGGTAATAATAATCATAAAATCATGTGCTCCACAACATGTTATTACATTACAAGCATTTCATATAATCCCAATTCTAACATCAATTATCTTGTATTATTAATAATGTGCAAAATTTGGTTTTCATGATTAGGCTACAAATATTGCAATCCGTTGATTATTTTAATTAAAATGCTCTATGATTATTGAATAAAATGTTACTCCTAAAGATAAAGATATTAAACCAGCTAGATGTTCATAATCTGGATTATGTTATGTTATTGATTATCTTCCTTGATCTATTTTCCTCATCAATTCACTCACTTATTCCACAAACTTCAAATGCTGAACACAAACATTTTATTCAATAAAGTATTAAATTATCGAATACGCCTTCAATAATGATTTGTGAGAGTTTTTCTTCTCGATTTTACTTGTGACTCTATCGAATTTATTCAAAATCACACCGTCAACATTCTACCTCAATGCTTAATATTTCAAGTTAAATTTATCAAGCAAATAATTCAAACATCTGGCTGTCTTTATTTGAAGTTCTATTTAGAATTTTAAGTTGATTTCAATTATCTTGGCAGTCAAAAATTTAACTAAGATTTTAATGATCTAATGCAACTATTATGTATAATATTATGGCAGATACTTAAAACTCCAGATTTATCTAATTGTTTATTATCAGTCGACTCAAGCATTCTATTATCACACATCTATGTTTGTAATAAAATAGTTAAACTTAATCCTACTAACTATATAAATATTGGACTATGAATGGAACGATTTAAGCCACGTCTTTGTAGCTCTCCAAATCAGAAAGCACTAAATTCATGAAATCAAGATTTACATTAAACAAATTCTTGTGAGAAATTAAATTTTAGACTTATTACTTCTTTTTCAAATAAATCCTTAAAGTTCTTCACAATGCTTTATTGATGAACTGTCAATATGCTTATTACGTTATCCTTTATAATATTGAAGGACTTCTTGTTCTCCATACTTTAGAATGACTCCGTTTATATGATGTCCTTGTATTGCACTTATATCAAATGAGAGGAATTTACTTATGGATTGAGTCTCCTACGAATTGATCATCTAATAATCTTTCATCACATTGAATATGGAAAGAGAGGGAAATCCTAGAGGGATTTTAACTGTCCTCATCTAATGCGAAATTAGATCTCTTAAATCCAAGCTCTTGAATACTGAGATTCCATACCTGATCATTGAGCACATACTCATCCATCCTTTTGGATAAATTAATACTATCCATATATTAAAATCCAAAGATTTCAGACTAAAATGATTTTACGTCAGAGTACCTTCTGCATATTTTGATCCTTGATAGCCAATTCAATGTCTTAGGAATTAAGTTATTTTTTTCTGAAGTGTCTCTGATATTTTATTGCCTCCTAATCATCATAACAATATTCACTTGAATGATCTTCCTCACATTCTATTCAACCAATATGAATAAATGTAACTCTGCCCCCTACTCTATAGTTTTACCCTGAAGAAGTCCTTTTAATATGCTTTCATCTCGATACACAGACATTGAAGAAAACACAAATTTTGTCAATTTGATATTTACATTAAAAAAGATATTGAAATAACTTCTACAACCCCGCCTGAAAAGATTAGTATAGATCATTTTTTCCCTCTTTTTGGACTCAAATCTCTTCCTCCGAAGAATGAAGCATCTCTTTTAATAGTGATCTCTGGGGTTCTACCCCTTTCCTATAAGGATTGACCAATTAAATTTCCCATTCCATCTCGTGCGAATCTCACTACCTGTATTTCTCATTAATTCCTTGCCAAACAATGCTTAGGACCTTACATGTTACTTATATGTCCAGCATTCGATGAAGCCTGGCTACTCTCTTCAGAGTGAATACTAAAAGCTCAGAATAGATGTTTAAGATTGCTATTACAACTAAGTTAAGTGTATGCGTATATGTATTTACACTTAAGATATGTGAGAATCTGCATTGTCAAACACTTTAAAGAATAAAATAATTTGTTATAGGTACTAACTCTCTAGATGTTCTTATTGATTCATTATATAACTTATTCAGATATTATTATTTATATGTTTTATCGATGCTTTACACATTCCTATCTCAATCAAACCATTAAGGATAATAAAGTCCATAAAGACTATTAATTGAGACATTTATTAGTAAAATAATTGCACTATTTAATACAAAAAATCAATCCTCTTTTTGCAGTAGACAATTCGGACATATGTCGAAGTCGCAGATTTAACATCTATGTGCTTAATTTTAAATTGTTTCACTGCAATAATCGCACACGTGATGAGGTACAATGCTCAATTTCATTCTTTATAATAGTAAATTAAGAGTTTACGGATGTCCTGCTCCACACATAATTCCAAACAATGGTGGAGGCATGCATTGCAAACAGAATGCTTCTTAGCATTACTAACACCAATAACGAGATCTGCAATTTTTAATCTTACATTCTGCGCATGGATGACCACTACTTGATTTCCAGGTTAATTCATGTCCATTCTTATTGCAATAATAGGTCGGAGGTGGAAAGTATTCTGGGTTAGTTTATTGTTGAGAATTCATAACTATTTAAATAAATGAATTCGAATTATTAAACATATTTATTTATTATTGTACTATTCATAATAATATCAATCCTTGGGCTTCTTCTTGATTCTTAATTAGTTTGAATGTCCACACTTTCTCTTTCTGCAATTGTGAGCCTTTGGTGGTAATCTATTAAATTTTATTTTATTTTATACCTGGCATAGCAAACTCTGCATATTTTTTTTTCAACGTTGTACTTTTTGGCAATAGCAGCAATGGTTGGCTCCATACCACCTCCTCTGAGTCTCAATACCAAATGGAGAGTTGATTCTTTTTGGATGTTATAATCTGAAAGAGTTCTTCCATCTTCCAATTGCTTTCCAGCGAAAATTAATCTTTATTGATCGGGAGGGATTCCTTCCTTGTCCTAGATCTTTGCCTTAACAGCATCGATAGTGTCAGATGGCTCGACATCGAGTGTGATGGTCTTACCCGTGAGGGTCTTAACAAAAATTTACATATTATTTTAAATTTTTAAAAAATCTTTAATAAATTATTTTATATTCTAACATTTAACATAATTTAAAAATGATTATAAGGCAACTTTTACTCTTTTTAATAGAAGAAAATTTGCCATTATATTTCTATTATGAATCAAATTTACATCTTCGTCTTATAATTATTCAAAAAATCGCATTGATGACTGAAAAGTACGTCTTTATTAGTTTCTAACATCATTAGAGCTCCCTCCAAACTAAACCATAAACTTTGGATGTTAAACCCATCCTTTAAGATTTGGATTTCTTTCTAAGTTTTATGGCATTTTATAGGTAGAGTCTTAGAAAACTCCTCCAAATTTCTCTGGCTCTCTTCATAAAGATTTCTAGTGCTGTTAATATATATGATAAATTAATACTCTTCCTTTATTTTATTGAAATTGTCTTCATAAACTAATTTAAGAATATCATCAGTGATTTCTATATTAACGGGATCTGTAAATACTTATTTTTATTGGCATTCCTAAATAAACTAAACTCCATATAGTGTCGAATAAAAGGGATCAAATCTTCCATTAATGAAACTATTATTTTCTATTAACATCTTTAACTATTCTTATATAACAATAAATGTTTGATTATTTGGCAATTTCAACTCAATTTTTTTTTTGTTCCCTATAATCTCTCCAGTTAGTTAACAATATGTAAGTCCATCATAAATGAGGTTTATTTATTTTCCCATAAACACTTAAACCAAAGCGCTTATATCTTGAGAGCCCTTTATTGTAGTGGGATTATTAATAAGATCGACTAAAGTAATTAGTTATGCCATGTAATAGAAATTAAATTAATTAATATTATGTTTTATTTCAATAATATATCGATTATTAAATTCCCTTTGTGACTTTATTCATCCAATTAAATTTTTTCAGCTCTTTGTTCTTACCACTTCCATCTTCCTTTCCAGGCCAATAAGCAATTAAATTATACTAGGGAGGAATCTTAGCCTCAGACTTATTCCTGGTAACTGGCTTACTGGGATTTCCCTTGACTAACAATTTATCATACCCAATATTTAATTTTGGCTGGCTCTATTTTTTTTTTATCATAAAGCAATTCTAAGGATCTACCAAATGTATTATAATCAACGGGATATGGCTTATATTTGGTACAATCTGGTTTAGGATAATTTTTAATCATTTCCAACTTAAACTTATCGAAATCTTTGTGTTTAGCAATCATAACCTTTGGATTTGTATTGTTGTGTTTTAATTTAGGTAAAATAGGCTATTTATTATTAAAACATATTGAATACATGAGGATTATAGCTGCCTGGACCTGCAGGTAAAACAGCTCCTAAGTGTTAATAGTCTTAAACAAAGTCTGGTTTATCTCCATATTGAATTTTAGTTTTGCCATTCCACTTTTTGGCCTGATTCTCAATCGATCTATTTTCATCATACTTTCCAGGGCCAGGTTTTGGGTAATTTTGTTTACTGTTCTATAGGAAAATGTCATCTATAAATGTATTTCTCTTTAACAATTCACTTTTTGATCTATATAATTGGTTGAGTATACATCTTACCTTTTCCTCTCCTTGTCTTTCTCATTTACCCACTTGTATTCAACATTATATTACACAGGGACCTTACGATTTCTAAATGGTTTGGCTATGTCATCCAAGAAATGGCCTCTTTTTGTAATTGTTGGAGGTTTCTTTAATTTGCCTGCAAAGAACTCTCTTTCTTAGGCTTACTTGAGAGGGTCACAATACTTCTTGGGGACTTCGTATCCTTCAATACCCCAAGCGCCTGTTTCACCTCTCACAACACTATACATTTATTCAATAGTCATCACTAGATTAAATCATAAGTTACATGAGGGAGCTGATCGACTTGTATGCATTATATTATAATTAATTAATATTTTAACGAATGTCCTAGCAATTTTAAGGGAGGTCCTCTCATGGATAATTGGACAGGAAATTTGAACCAGCAGTTGAGAATCCCAAACCTACCTAGCAGATTAGGGATATCCATGTGACAGGGGTAAATCGAGATTCTTCAAAAACCATTCATTATCCAAAATAACCTAAGGTAATCCACTTGAGTTTCATTTAGTAGATATAAATAATCAAGGTTCCTTAAAGATGTGGAAGTAACCAAACTGTTTGTTCAGTTTAGGGATTTAGTACATTAACATATGATGATATTAGACCAAAAGAAAAAGAAGAGAGTGTAATAAATAAAATTATGAGACTATTTACACGAGAAGTTGATCCTTGTAAATGCTTACCTTATTAAAATAATACTTGCATTAAAGCTAAAGAATGGTTAGGCAATTATGATGCTGATAAATTAAAGACTAAATACTCTAATTTATTGGAAAGTAAATGCGAACCAAAGATAATTAAACAAATAAATCTTGATGTTGAAAGAACACATCCTCTGAAGAATTACCCCCAAAAATTATAAGATTTATAATAGGTTTTGATTGCATATTCCAAATACAACAAAATTGTTGGATACATGCAAGGAATGAACTTTGTTGCTGCTGGGTTAATTTATCATGCTGATAATTATGTTGCTTTTGAATTGCTCAGAAAACTAATTGATTTACTGTAAATGAATGATCTATATTCCCCTATGTAAGTTAATATAATAGTAGGTCTCCTGGTTTATCGAAGCATATCTAATTGATTGATTATCTAATCCTAACCAAAATGCCAGACTTATATTAACATTTTTGCATCAACGGAGTCAAAGTGGACATGTTTTGTGCCTCGTGGTTGTTTTCCTTATTTGGGATGATGATCCCCATCCAGAAATAAGTGAAATTGTTCGATTGTATATTCAGGTATGGTTGGACATATATCTATCAATTGATTATCGGTTTTCTTCTTTATCATTAAGAGATTTTGATGAGTGAGGATATGACTGGAATTATTTGCATATTAAGCCAATAAAATTATAGAATTGACGACAATGACCTAGAAGTAGATTGGGATGAGTTGCTTGAAGCTTCTCTTAATGTTAAAATTAGTAAGACTTTTATATAGGAAATGCATATGAAATTTGACACTAAGATTTAGACATTTAAATTATGAGAAAATCACTAGATTCTAAACTAATAAAATATTATGTATATTTATTAAAATAATATACAAATTATATATGAACAGCATTTAAGTAACTGAGTTCTCGAACCGTGTTTTTGATCGTTATGATAAAAATCGTTCAGGATATATCGAAAAAGATGAATTAGATATATTGTTGAATAATCTGGCATTGGAATTAAATTCTTAGGTTTGTTTTTTAAAATAAATTAGTAACCCACAAAAAAGGAGATTGATTATATGTTGTCCTATTTGGATACAAACAATGACAGTAAAGTGAGCAGAACAGAATTTTAGAGATTGGGAGAATTGATGGTTAAAGTTTTGGGAAACATATGATTTTATATAAAATAAATGTCAAATTAAAATTATATAATAACTCTCTTAATTGTCCAGCAAATCAAGGTGTTAGTTGGAAACAAGTTCAATAATATTTGTTTTTAATAAATAATTGCGTTTGAATAATAAACAAATTTATTTAATTTTTATGTCTAGTCAAGAATAAGAAATAGACAAAGAATTAGATTAAGAACAGGAAAATGGGTGCGATTAAGAAGATTAAGAGGAACAAGATAGAACCTTATCTGGAAAAAAGAAATAACCTAAAAAATATGAGTATTTAATAATAAAATTATTATAGACGAATTACTGAAGGTCTCAGCAATAGGAAGCCTGGATAAAAATTCACACCAGAAGAGGATAGATTGATTTTAGAATTGGTTCAAAGTATTGGGCCAAAATTCTAAAAAATTCATAAACATTTCCCTGGCAAAACTTTGGCCATGGTGAAGAACCGATATTATAAATATTTAAGATATAGGTGGGAAGTGCTTGATCAATAAAATAATGTAACTGAATAAAACAAAGAAACAAACAAGCAAAACCACCATTCTAATGAATCTTATGAAATATTATGTGAAAAATAAAAAAAAATCAGCAGCCTATTGCATTAGGAGAGAAATGATCTTGTAAATTCAATAGCACAACGCGCTTCGACTCCTAATGCAAAGATATTTGTGGAATATTTAATAGATTAAATGTTATGATAGATAATTGTGTAGTTTGTATAAAATATATTTAAAAAAATAGAAAATGAAAACTCAATATTTACTTAAATATTATTCAAATCTTTTTCTGACATGTTCATAAAATTGAGGCTATTCTTGAATCGCCTTTTCCCATTGAGTTCCTTTGATGTTCTAAGCCAACTTGCAAAATCTTTCATACATAAATTTCCCTATTTTTTTCATTAGAAAATTCATGACTGTTTAAGGAATAAATTTCATTTTAGGATCTAAATTAGCCACGCTTTTCATAACAAACTCTCCTGCATTAACGAGTGTGACTTCAACCGCAAAGAAATTGATTTCTACTTGCACACAATTAGTTTAGGTAGTGTTAATTTAGTGCAATGTCTGATATTCTTTATCATGATGAATTGTCTAACAACAGATCAAAAATGATTTTGATTGTTCTAATTTATCCACCCCGTATCCTCTAATATAAGCTTCTCTATTAGATAAAACTGGAAGATCCATCATGATATAGCATATTTTATGGCCTAAACCAGGTGTTTTGAGCTATTATTGAATTAGATTTTACTGCTTTACTAACTTTACAAAATGGAACCCAATTATTAAAAAGTTCTGTTTGATATATTAAAGCACAAGCATTAATTATGGGTAATTTCATAACAGATTCGAATTTCAATGCAACATTTGATGAATTTGGAATGAACTTATAACTCATCTAAAAGCTTAATTCAAATCTATAATTACTATTGAGTATTGCAATCATGAATCCAGTCTTTATTGTCAGATAATTACTATTTCAAAAATGTGGCTTCTTTATGAAAGGTTTGGATTTCGTGGAATAAGTCTTTGTTGATTGGAAAGTTGTCTTTATCTTAATTGTGTCTTGTCATATAAAATTACAAAATCTCATAAGCCTGTCTATTTCGTAAATAAATACTTTGTCTAAAAGCATTAGATTATGGCATTGAGAGATTTATAACATCAATTCAGATGAATTGGATGGTAAATCATATTGAACTTGATCACTTTATTACATATAAATAAATTAATTATAATGGAATAACCAGAGCAAATCCCAGAAGACCCTAAAATGCTACTATTGACAATGGAATTGAATAGAATGGCATATGAAAGATAGATTATCAAATCTAAAGATGAAATTTAGAAGAATAATAATAATTCTAATAAAGATAATCAATACCTTAAAGAATAAGAAAAATAAATAAAATAGCTTAAAGAAGCTCTGAATCAAAAGGATTAAATGCTAGAACAACGAGTTCAAGAACTCAATCAAGAATAACAAAAAAATCAATAACTCTAAAAATAAATTGATAGTATTTCCAAATTAGTTTAATAAAAAAAAGAACCTAAATATTAATTATAGATAGACCAAAAATTGATTCAATAGTTAGCATAGTAAAAATAACAAACCCAAAAATCCCAAACTTCACCCCTATTGCAGACAGTTTAACAAAAAGGAAACCCAAACTATATATAAAATCCAAATTAGCTAATGTAGTCGCCTCCCATAATTTAGTAATAATATTAATCGTAGTCATATCAATAACCATAATACAAACCTTCATTGTCTAAGCATATCAGTAATCAATAGCAATAGCAATAGGTTTATTAGCCTCAACAACACTAATATCTGTAATAGTAGTAATAGTAATAACCTTTATATTAAAATGTATAAAAAATTTATTATGGAAGAAATTGAATATGTCTATTTTTATTATATTAATATAAAAATAAAATTTATTATTTCATTAAATGGAGGTACTTGATAATGAGAGATGGGTTGATCTTTAAGCCTAAGTGGATCATCAAAACCAGTTAATTAAAAGTAATCTTATTAACAAATATAAAAGACTAATAGGAGGAGATCAATCAATACAAATAAATCATATCTAGTTATAAGACATAAATTAGCCAAATTGAGAATAAAATGAATTCTTTTTCTCAAGCAGAAGTATTGTTAAGAGATGCAAATCATAGAAATGATATCTTGATAGCAGAAATCGAGAGATTAAATGTTATCGTTTTTCAATAAGGAAATGAAGTTGAGGAATGGAAAAACAAAGCATAACGCTTAGATTTAGCCCTACAAGAATATAAATAATTCGAACTAAGCAATAGAGATATGGTTCTCAAAGCAACAAGATTGGCGGAAGAAGTAGAAAGATTGAAAGATTTATTAACAAAAAAATAATTGGACTACTAGCAACTTCAAATTGAACTCAATTAAGCACTACAAGATTTAGAGGATGAAAGAAATAAGGTTAAATTGCTAGAAGACAGACTAGCTGAATTGGAATCAGAAACTCCAACAGAAAAAGCTCTCAAACAAATTCTAATTCAAAAAACAGAAATAATAAGATTGTAATAGGTGATTCAAAGTTTGAATAATAAAATATAATTCTTACAATAAGAAATTGATGAATTAAACATTAAATACAATAATCAACTAAGAGCTAATGATGACTTAAGAACTTCAGCTGAAGCAAATGAGAAAAAAGCAAAAAAGGCTGAACTTGATCTTTAGAAAGCTTTGGACGAAATAGAAAAATTGAAAAAATAATTATCTGATGTCAAACCAGTAGTTTAAACAGTGCCATAAGGAGTCGATCAATAAAAGGTTGATTAGATGTAAGATTTAATTTATAGTCTTTAAAAATAATTAAGAGAGACAGAGGATAATTTATAAGATACCCTCAATAAACTTAGAGATGCTGAAAACAGAATTAAATAATTAGAAAGGTAACTTAAGGACATGGAATTATAAAATTAAATGGCATAGGATAGATTAAAGGCTTAATAATTGTTATAATCATAAATGGCCAACAATAATAACAATGTTAAATAATAACCCTATCCTACAGATATTATAGCTGATTACGAAAGATAAATTCAAGAATTATTAAGGGAATTAGAGAAACTTAGAAATGCTAAACCTTTTGATGACAGAATGTTAAAAAGACAAATCTAAGATTTGTAATCATTAATAGTTCTTATGTGTGCTGAGATTGAAGCTCTAAGAGCTAAAGTTAGATGAGTATAATATAAGATAAAATAATTATTAAGAAATTACTTATAATTAAAATTTTATATCACTTTTTAATTGTGGCTTTATTAATTTTATACATATAATTACATCTTCTAGTATTTAAAAATATAAATAACATTTATTGAAATTTATTTTATATTTTTATTTAAATGTATTGATTACAATAATGACAAAATAAGTAATTTAATATAGTTATTACTATATATAATTAATATAATTTAGAACAATGTGGGATCTTTTGATACACATGAGAAAGGATAAATTAATATGTACCTTGATTAAAATAAAAAATGTGATTTAAGAATAAGTTCTTTCTAATGGTTCTAATCTTCTAGGAAAAATAAATTGATCTAAAATCAATAGGCAAATAGATACAAAATAGGATATATCTATTTATTATTTTGATTAGCTTATAATAGAGTGAATAGTTTTACAAAGCAATGATTCTAGGTTTATTTAAAAATGGAGAGTAATTACTAATATGCACAAAAATTAAGTTCTTTATTTAAAAGCACTATATTTATTTAACTCATAATTGATCAATCAATAATCTATTTAATAAACAAAAATAAAATATAATTTTGTTTAGATCAATAAATATGACAAAATAGCTTCCATTTAGTTAAAGAGAAAGAATGAGTCTTATCGATTAGCTTTTTAATGAAGGCTAATAGAAATAAAAGACTTTACCTTAGAACATCCCTTCAATCAGTGCAAAACCAAATGTTAAGAAATCAGGCCTAATCATAAAATCTTTTGAGTATTAGAATTCATTTAAAGAACAACCAACAATATATAAAGATAAACTGTCTAATATTTACTCAATCAATTAATTAATTGTGTAAAATCCTCAAAAATAATAATTGGAATATTCGTAAGTAAAGAATTCTCAATATAAATTACTGGAATTCTTAAAACCTATTAAATATAAGAATTAAAAGAAAAAAGACAATTTTAGATTGCATAATAGTGAAAGCTATTTAAACAATTAATAGAAATTACCTAATTTGTCTTCAAGTATCAATACGAATATTAAAACATGTAATTCATATAGAATTTAAGTAAGATAATCATTTTAAGATATAATTAAATGCAAAATATGCTTCACATATATTGAATATGATAATTTTTAATTATCTTGCAAGCATAGCTTCCATAGAGATTGTTTGAAAGATTAACTTAACTAATAAGTAAAATAAGGATAATACCACTTAAAGTGTATTAGTTGCAACGAAAGAATAAAAAACTAATAGCTGAGAAATCTATTAAACAAGAGTATGATTGAATTATACTACTTAAATTAAATTAAATTCATTGTTTCAAGATATCACAATACAGTAAAATTTGAGAAGTGTAAAAAATGTTTCTTTTTTTGGATTAAACTATCTTTATCAAATACTTATGAACCCTTCTGTCAGATTTGTGAATCAAATAAATGATTTCAATATATTAAATACTATTTAGACTATTAGATACATAAATATACTATTCTCAGCAATTAATTAATTAAAAATCATAAATCTTGGTGTTTCCTATATAGCAATTAGAGAATATGAATAATTACGATATTATAAACAGTTGATAATATAACAATTCTTTTTATAAAAATATTTTAAAACCCTTTTTATTGTAAAATTAAAACAGCACAGCATTTTTTTTACTACAAAGAGAATTAAGATGACTGAATTCATACCAAGATAGAAATATTAAATTAAATGTTCATGAAGTTTGATAAAAGAGTATATGGAGACAGGATAATTATAATAGAATCAAGAATACTGCAATTTATTATTTTATACATGATAATTGTCTTTATGTGATTGTTATTACTATAATAAATTTATTGGCTAAAAGATAAATATTTTCTCAATTTTTCTTAACACCTTATTGTTATTATTATTAAGGCTTTCTGTATGGTTTGAATTGTTTTGGCATTCTATGTGGCATTACTGTTTCCCAACCCTTATTTTATTCATAAAACTATTACATCATCTTCCTCGTCCTTCTTTTTATAGTTCTTCTATCCATCACTTCTATTGAATTGTTTTCCATCATGCTCTACAGTTAATATGAAAGTGTACCTTTTCTGTTATATTGATCTTTATTCTTCTAAGGAGCATCAACAAATTTGTTGCCTGTTGAAGGTAATGGATTTTGCTTATTCACATTATCTGGTATTTTCTATGAGGACTTTTAGAACCTAGGTGGGAATTTTATCCAAAAGCCTCTGTCTTTAATTTTCTGATGATAGGAGATGGGTTTATACAGTTTCCTTGGTTGTGAACAGGAATTCTTTGGCTTATTCCTTATTCTTGAAGAGCAAGCTAAAACTTCCTGGATTGTAATTTTCAACTTTCAGGAATTCGAAGTTAGGGAAAGCTAGTTTCACTTCTTCAATGGTAGCATCGAAATGGCATTTCACAATGTTGAGTAGAATTTCCTCGTCAGGACATTCATCAATTAATCTCTCAATCTCTCCTCTGGATTGCATTTTGGGTTTTGGTTTGTTACTTGTGTAATGTTTTTACTCTGGCTATTGGGGCTGAGATTCTTCATCTTAAATTTGATCCCACTCTATGATAATGCACATGAATACTGAGAGCATCTTTCTATGGTTAATCCATGATTTGAAATTAATTTAAATAAAATCTTAATACCCAAGCAAAATACTTATTTCAATAAAATAATTGAAAATTATTCATATCATTCTAATACACCCAATAACCAATTATAAACCATTAATTTACGAATAATATCCTTTATTGAACTCATATAAAAAGCCTTTGATACATTTATATAATTATTCAATTGCTTTTACATAAAACAGCTAGTTCATTTTATTACATTTTGGGAGCAATCTTAAGGAAAGACATGCTTTCACTATCATAATTTTAATAAAGTATATATTAATGTATCATCTTTAGAATATCAGAACTTACACTATTATTATTTTGAACTAGATTAGAAGAATAAATTTAGGAATTATAGAGTTAAATTCTTGATATATTTCATCCTAATTGACTCATTCGTATTCTCATTATGATAAACAATTAATTCTCATTTTAGTAAAATAATCTTAAGATCTATTTGCTAATTGTATATTTAGTTAATTCAAATTATATAAATATATCTTAAATAAATAAATTATTTGCATTTTTTAAGATGAATATTATCAATACTATCTATAAAGTTTAAAATCAATAGGTTTAGTTTTCCAATTATATTCTAATATTTTAATAATTTCAATATAGAGACTAATTAATAGTAAGAATATAAAACTTAAAATTGGTTTCAATCTTTATTTTTAAAAAAGTACTTTGTCAATTCAACATAATTATAGAACTAAAAATAAAATAATATTAAAAATGAAAATTGAGTAGTTATGCAAATTGAGATAGAATAATAATTTATATTATATAAAAAATATTATTATTAAAGAGGGTGTTAAATTTATTAATTTTAATTATAAATTAACTAAAATGTTTAGTACAGAAGAATTCATTCGACAGTATTAGAAGCTTGCTAATCCAGACAAAACAATTAGTCATTAAGCAAATTAATACATTCTTAAGTTATAATAAAGCAAGGAGGCCTTGACCATTGCAAAATAATTATTAGACTTACCAAATATTTAATCGGAATATTAGTTCATAGCTTGTTAGATGATATATAGAAGATTGAAAGAAGAGTGCAATATTTCAATTTAATAATATCTTCTAGAATTATTGGCTAGACCTTTACCAAATGTTGCCATGAATTAGGTATGTTCTTCTTTAGCCGTGATCATAGTTGGAAATAGATCTTTATGGGGAGGGTAATATTAAAAATAATGATAGAATATTGTAAGAATTGATTTAGTTAATGAAATCGAGGATGGCAATAGGAATAGAAATTTTGACATAAATTGCAATTTAAGGAAAAGAATGGTATAAAAAAAGTGAATAATTAAGATTGCAATAAGAATTTATTTCTTAAGAAAATACTTTATCAGAAATATTTCTTAGTTTACTTTAGGTTTAAGACTTGAATATATTTAATTAAACAGTGAAATGTATTGAATGTTGGATATAATTCTCATTTAATCTATTCAAAGACTAAAAATTAACTAGAGAAATATTAAACTTAGTATATTAAACAGTAATAAATAATGCCCGAAAATATAGTGATAAATTGTTTGCATTGTTAAATGAAAGTGTTATTTACTCATAATACAATAGACAATAAAATATAAATTAGATTGATTCTGCAGTGTTATAGAATTTAAATTTTATTCTTGAATTTATCATATCAATATACAATCCTCTGTCTTCAAAGGGATATGTTTCATTTATCACTAAATTTTTATGTGATTTTCATGTACTTGTGTTGAATTCGAAATATGAAAAGGATGTTTTTAATTTGATGAGTAACATTATACAGCATCCATCAAGGAAGATAGCATTTTAAACATTCGAATTTTGGAATCAGATGAGAGAATATAATAACTTATAAGGGGTTGGTTTGAATATATTATAAACGATGATTGACAAATGTAAAATGAAAACAATAAAATTAACAAAAGAATTTGTATAAGGAGATCCTGAAGAAGAGGAGGAGAATGATTATAATCTTAAATATTGTAATGAAGGGGAAGAACATTTTATTTCAACATCTGATTTTAGAGAGCATTCCAAAGATATTTTTTATAGTATCTATAAGAGTGCCGAAATTAATATGCAATCAGATTAATATTTGTATATTGTATTGAAAAATTTGATCATATCTGATTCTTCTTAACACGATTAGATACTTTAAAGTGAATCTGCATTATTTTCATTGTATTCAATCATAGAGCAGACTGATATTTCAGTCGATAACCAAATTATACTGCAAATAATTTAAGTGATTTTGACATTACCTGCTCATTCTAACTTTGACATCATTGTTAAAACATCATTATAACTATTTAGCGAATTTCCTAATCAATTACAATTGCATAATGATGTTTTGATTTAAATAACTCAATACTTTTTTAAATACATGCTTCATCCATTGTTAGGACCTTTGGCAGGAGTGTACTAATATAAAAAATAATTTTAGAGCATTCGAATAGATTTGCAACTTAAGTAGTTTGAATAATGTTGAACTAATATCTGAAAGTGTCAAATTCTTAGAGTTGCATTTCAGTGAGTTCATCAATCAATCCCAAGTAAGCAACTATATTGAGGGGATATTAAAGTTGTGTTTCAGGTTATTTGAAGAAGGTAAGCCGGATTGTTTAATTTAGGTAATGAATTATGAGATATTAGTTATTCAATTTTGCGAATCATCAGTTTCAATAAGTATGCAATCCTCAAGTGACTGAGAAGTAGTTTCATTACAATAATTCTTTGGTTATCTCAATGTTTTAATGGGTGAATTTGAATGCTAGAGAGAATGATTAGATTAAGTAACTGTTGGAACTGTTATGTCAATCAATTTTTGAACCCTTGTTAATGTTTTTGTAAGGGCAACATACTTTTTCCTTTTATGATGATATTTTAAAATTAATTCAAATTATACTCAAAGTGTCAAACTTTTAAAACTAATAATAGGTAATTCATCTCTTGTAAATATCATACTAAATATTTCATTCTGATCCAATTCAAAAGCATCATTGGTTATAATTAATTACCTAAGTAATCAGTAGATCTACAGATCACTAATTTATTGTTTAGTGGGCAATGGTTAATGATTATTAAATTCATTTGTTTTGCATAGAATCCTTTAATCGTTGGAAGGACCCCGATCTAATGAAAGTTTATGTTGAATACATCATAGAATGCATAAGATGTTGTCCATAGGTTCTATTTGACTCCCCTTACTTGTAAAAAATTATTGATGTAATTTGCGATGCCTTTCTAAATTTATGCTCTTTTGAAATGCAAAGAGAGATCCTACACTTTTTTAAGTATTATATCTTATAAATTAAATTAGATTTCTATTTTAGTCTTTAGAGAATAGTAAAGAGTATTTCAATCCATTGGTGGTGAAGGTTGTCTCTGCCATATTTATGTCAATTAGCGATATAAATCCTGCAATAGTATTTTAAATAATATAGATTTTACTGATAATATTGAAAAAATAGGTTAATTCAAATGAATTGGAAGAATTAATTTTTTAAACATTACAAAAAAGTTGGGGAAAAGATAAGCCATCATAAAATGTTAAATTAGTCAGTTAAGCAATAATTTCATATATATTGATATCTGAATAAGGAGAAATAAATAGGGATTTGAAAATACTACTTGAGAACTTGCGACCTATCAGTGAAGAAGAAATCAATTATATTCAATTAGAAATAGTAATTAAACGAAAGTGATTTTATTTAATAATTTAATTTATAATTTCAAATACTACATAGCTCAGGTTATTAATTTCTTCATTTTTGTAAACCAATATTTTTTTAATTCCATCTTAAATTTTTAAAACATTACTTTTAGTTAATTAACGATATTCAAATGCTAGATGATTTGATTACCAAATACTAAATGGACTTATGTTTCTCTTTAATTTAGTTACCACTCATTTGATAATTGAGTATATCATCATATCAAATAATCATTCATATTTTGATCTTTTTAATAACTAAATCCTTTCACCAATTTCTTTTCGAATTTGATATATATTGATTCAGAATTTACTTATATTTTGTTTCATTTTGAAGCATTTTTTATTTAATAATAAAACTTGAAGACATAATTAATCTTAAATTTATTTATTTCAATTATAATTAAAAGACTTTGATTTGAGTAATGTTTTTTTCTCCATCTATACAATTTGATCTATTTGTGTTTTGTGTCTTTGGGTATCAGCCCGAATAAAGGCATCCACCTTATAAAATTAGACCCAAGCCTTTCCTTGTTACAACTCTTCAAGCTAAGAAGTTATAGATTGATCATACTTCATCTGATATCTCTTATTCTGTATAACCCTACTATTTTACTATATCCCAAAAGGCCAACCATTCCTAAACTGTTATGTTCCCACTTTTTTTATAATCCACCTAGGAAAATAAAGCATCTGTATTAATTTTTGCAAAATTCGATTTCCAAAATTATAATGTTCTTTCTCTATCAATATAACCCTTATTCTAAATATCAATCTTTTGAAATATCATTATTGCTTTTAGCCTTAAATTTTCTGAAATCTATTTATGCTCTGGTCTATTTGAGCAAGTCCCCATTTTACTTTTATTAATTATTTATAATGTTATCTCTCAAGGAAGTCATACCTGCACTTACAAAAGATTTCACATAAGGAATCACTCGAGTTGATAAGCATATCTACATCCAACCAAAGAAGGAGCACAAATACACCTTTATATGGGTAATACCATAACTTATTAGATTAGATGCATGGATTAGAAGATGTTCCTGATAGTTTTTTAGCTGGATTCAATAATCCTGAATTAAACCCTTTTGACCATTAGACTACTAAAGTGATTTTACTTTGTGCTCCTGTGAGGCCATTAACTAAAAATAAAGGAGAAATGATGACATCATGGTATGATATAATGATTCCAAACTGGAAGTAGTTTTGGGGAATCAAATCCGATAAAGAATTGTGGGGAGTTGATTAAGCCATAGAATCTAGAAATTTCATTTGGAGCTTGATTGATTAAGAACCAATTCCAAAGAAAAACATCTTCATTGGAGGCTTTTCTTAAGGATGCTGCATGTCATTATTGGCAGGATTAGGATACAAGTTATTTTGTTTTGTTAATTATAAATAGAGAATCCTTGGGTGGAATACTTGGAAACTCAGGATATTTGTTCCCATTCACTGAAATCAAAAACAAGACTCCTATATAGATATTACATGGCGAAGAAGATGAAGTAATCCCATATGAATTTGCTGAAAAATCCATTTAACCTTTACTTAAATTAGAAAATAATTTACAATTCATTAAACTAAAAGGAATAGAACATGCAATGATGTTGGATAATTTTAAATTGATGAAAGAGTTTGTTGCAAAACATTTATCATGAAAATGACAATTTATTTTAAATTATTGTAAATCATCTAAATTTCTATGTGATTTCCATAAAACTTAAAGGCAAGACCCAGAGTTTGTTTTTCTTATCAACCTTTTTTTCATAAACTTCTTCAATTTGGATTTCATACAGTCTAATATATGATCCATGTGTCATTTATATAATTGTTGCTCATATTATTTATTTTTACCATAAAGATTTATGAAGATATTTTTTTCGTTTTGTCCATCCTTTCACTTTTAACTTTACTCATGGATTTTATCAATTTACATGAATCATTTAATTTGGATAAATTAACACAAATATATTATTGGAATTTACAAATTTTAATAACAATAATGATTGTCATTGCATAAATATGATTTTTTGAGTCGATATTAGTTGCTATTAAAATTCCCGAAAAATGAATTGTACAATAAGTTGCCGTAGTACTTAGGTGATATTATTTTCACTTTGTATTCAGTATATTGCTTTTCTAAATTTTAAGCTTCATGATTTATTATTTAATGTAATTTTTTCAAAAGTCAGAGGAATAAATAAGAGTCGAACAAAAACTATAACGAATCAATGCCGCTTAATAAGAGGAGAGGTATAGAAAACCAAATCCATGTTAAGTTACATTTCCAGAAGAAAACTTTATAGAAATGAAAGTTCAACAGGAAGGGAAAATGATAAAACTAAATACCTACAGATTTTAAGCAACTGGAAAACCTAAGGCTATTGTTTTCATGTTTCATGGGTTATGTGCACATATTAATCACGGTGCTCACATAGCTTAGAAAATGGCATAAGATGGATTCTTGGTAGTTGGTTTTGATAACAGAGGCTTTGGAAAGTCTGAAGGAATAAGAGGTTATTTAGAGAGTCTTGAAATTCATTTATCTGATTGTCGTCTATTTATATAGAAAGTTTAGGAACTGTAAGGGAATTCTAATATTCCTGTCTTTTTGTCTGGATTATCGATGGGAGGAATGACTTCTTTTAGATTGGCTGTTGGAGGAAATATTCCAAATCTTAAAGGAATCATTATGTATGCACCTGCAATTAAGACACTATTTAGTAATCTATAAATTAATACAATGAAATTTGTAGGGTATCTTATCCCTAAATATAAACTCATAAAGCCAAAAAGAGGTTAAACTACTAAGAATCCTTAAATAACTGAAGATCTAATGAAAGATCCTTACACATACTAAGAGGAACTCCTTCCCAGGACTATTTCAACTATCACTGTAAGTATGAAAGAATGTGAATCCTTGTATCGATAATTACATACTCCTTGGGTAGTTATACAAGGTGGTCTGGATAAATTGGTCGATCCAGATTTGGCATATACGCTAGAAAGAGAATCACCATCACAGGATAAAACTGTATTATATTATGAAAATTTATGGTACATATCTAAATATTACATATGATTAGGCATGATGTTTGGCATGAGGAAGAGATACATGATATAATTCCTAAAGTACTATAATGGTTAAATCAGAGAATATGAATAAATTATAAAAAGTATTAAAAGATAAATTCTTATATTTCTAATATTTCTAATATTTCTTATATTTCATATAATTTATAGCTATCTAATAAAAAAAAATAATACGAAATTATTTGGTTATGAAATAATAGATTAAAGTGTTTTGAACATGGAACACTAGTTGTTCTTGTTAGTTTACAATGGTTAGATAGTTTATTTAATAATAATATTAAAATTATTGGAATTATGGGTTCTTGTTAAGGGACGACTTAAGATATCTAGCAAGATTTACGAATGAGGGAGATAATGTCACAGTTTTAGGTTCCAATGCCTTACACAGATGAGTATTAAATATTTTAAACCTTGAAATGGTTGGAGATGTAACAAAGATTTAATCATAGAATACAACATAATAGTATGCCAAATTTTGGGTTAATCTATTCAAGAGCAGCAGACTCATAGAATAAATTGAAAGAGTTCGTTAAGAAATGGAGAACAAAGTATGAATAGCATAACCATCCTAATTTGCTGTCGATTCATAATATTTCAATCATCGAATCAATGAAGGTCTTTATCCCATACACTGAAATCATACTTCTCATAGATAAGCCAGTGGAACCTCTATCTCGACATAAGAAAGTCATAATGAAATAGCAATTCACTCAAGATGAAATCCTATTTCTTATGGATTGTGTAGTTTCAGGATTTGCATTTTAATAAGCTAATAAAATATACCCTTCTGGTTTTGACATAGATGATATCATAACTGTTAAAACTCCTTTTAATATTGATGTTTTCAAATTGGTTGATAGATATTAAAAACCGATTCGATAAAACTTGTTTCAAGAGTTTATATCACTCTATGACGATAAGCAAAGTACTAAACAATCTTTATGATTTTTAAGCGTTGAACGAAATGAAGAAGACAGCCTTCCTATCTCCAGCATAAATCTCGGCTATTCCAAGAAAGGACAAAGTAAATCTTATTAATTATTACACTAGTATCTTAAACATAATAGGTACAAATCAGATGTGTTCAATTTTGGATTGATGCTAATATATTTGATTCAAGCAAAGAAACCAGAAGTGTATGATTGGAAAAGATGGACTATAGACGATTTCGCATTGAAAAAGGTTCAAGATGATATGATAACAACTAATTTTAATGAGTAAATATTACACTTGATTGAAATGATGTTGAAAGTAGATGAACACGAACGACCTGATTTTATACAATTAGATGAAATGGTCAATAAGTTGTTTCAGGATCTCAAAAAACATCGTTTATTGGAATAATATTAACCATAAGAATTCTTTATTGCTGGGTATAACAAGCCTTCTTCCTATGATAATCTACTCGGTTAAAATATCTTTTAATCTAAACACCCTTAATCTCCAACTCTGATCAAATCTAGTTAACATTTAATTAAAAACTAATAAATAGAGTAACAACGATATAGACAACAAGATACCAGCCAGGCTTCGATCAAAGATTAGAGATGGCAAGAAGGGAAAACCTAAGAATCTAAACCAGGTTTTGAAAATAGTGTCACTCAAGGGAAGCTGCATTATCCTAATGGTTTTTATTATATTGGATAAATATGCAATCGAAAAAGACACGGACAAGGGACATACTATGACTCTGATAATCATAAGGTAACAGAAGGGATGTGGGTTTTTGATGTTCCCGATGGCGAAGTTATCTTTTACAATAACCCAAAATAAGAACTAGACAAATCACATAAGAATTTATCAAGGAAAGATTGGATATAGTATAAGGGATAAGTTAAGCATGGATAAAAACATGGCATTGGAGTTCTCTATTTTGCTGACGGTTCAAAGTTTATGGGACTTTTTTCATGCGATTAGGCACATGGGAAAGGTCAATTTGAATATTAAAGTAAAGAATCCTATACAGGAACTTGGTAGCATGATTTATATATTAGTTGAAATGTTTTATATTTAATTATATTATCATTTTTCGATATTTCATTAGATTTAAATTAAAGGTATAAATATACTTGAGATCAAAATGAAAGATGAGAAGGATATTTTAAATTATTATAGAAAATTATATCATTTACCCAATTAATACAATAAAATACATCAAAGACTAGAATAGTTAACTAGCCGCTTTTATAGAATCTACAAATAGTCAGATATATTATCAAGGGAATCATTTACGTTAGTTTTATAATAGATTATAATCATATAATCAAGTATACATTCTTAATAATTACGAATTAACATTTTAAATATTTGGTTTTGATCAAAAAAAACTTCTAAATTGATTTTTGAAATTAGGATCAATTTGTATTTTATTTTTATTTCTTGATTAAAACAAAGTTTATAAATAAAAAATTGAAAATTATAATACAGTTTTTCTTCAATAATGACTCATGGTATTATGATTTGTAATTTAGTGCTTTATTTTGGAGTAGGAGATTTTGCTTTATAGATGTAGACAATAATGAATAATAATTAGAAGTAATTTATTAAATAGTTATTCAGATTGTAAAGAATAGTGTTCCCATAAAATAAATATTCTAGAGATCCATCTAAAGCAACAAAAAAAGGAGAACAAGAATTATGTTTTATAAGTGTTATTTGTTGCGAATAAAACACCTTTCTGATAGATAGTACAGTTTTATCATAAGGTAGCATAATATGATCTTTGGGGATTTGGGAATTCTCAATTTGCCTAATTAGGTTTATAATAGCCTTCTGTTAGTATGCCAATAAATATTTCATAAATAACTTAAAATTCTTATAAATTAGTGAATGCTGGAACTGGTTTTGTAGTTGCATACTCAACAAATAAAAAGATATATGTCTGGGGAAATTGGCATTAATTAAACTACGGCGAAGTTTTGAAGCTTTCTGAGAAATAAGGTTTCACAGAATAAATTGACACATTTTATTAGATAAGTAGTTTAGATATTACTTATAATTTTTCTATCAACAGATACATGGAATTAGAAAGAAGATCTAGTCATATGCCTGTTCACTAAGCTGAAGTTGTATCACTAAAGTGCGTAGGTACAACAACTTATCTTTTAACTCCAAGTAAATTATTTTGTTTGGGATTGCATCAATAATTTACAGTTTAGTTCATAGGTATAGCTTGCGGTTAGAAACATATATTGGCTTGGGATGAGTAAGGTAAAGTGTGGAGTTGGGGAGACTTTTCAGATGGAAAATTGGGTTACATGGATTTTAATTAGAAAGAACAATTAAGTCCAAAATTGATTGATGATTTCCAAACAAAAGTAATGTCTTGTGTTTGTGGTTCCAATTATAGCATAGCACTAGACGTGAAAGGAGACATCTATGGGTGGGGTAAAGGTCCATTTTAGATCGATTTATCCAAGGCTGTCGTACCATCTAAACTTTGTTAGAAACAAAAGCCTTTTATCAAAATTATGGCTGGGGATTCTCATTTTGGAGCCTTAGATTTATCAGGTTAGTTGTATGGATGGGGAATAAATGTCAAAAATTGTTTAGGGGATTTAAGCGATAAAGTCAGGTATCCTTAATTGATAGAATTAAAAAATATCAAAGTAATTGACGCTGCAATGGGTAGCACATCTACTGTTCTTATAGTTCCAGCTAATTCAAAGTACAAAATACCTAGTTTGAATGTTGATTCTTATACTTCACATTAATAAAAAAGAGTTAGAGAGGAAGCTGCATTTATTAAAGACTTTGCTGACAAAAAGAATAAGATTGATTAAATATAAGTGCAAACTTCAAATCAAATATTTGGTGATACTCTGGAATCGCCCTCTAAGAATACTTAATATGAATAGACTGCTGGTTTATTAAAGAAGATGAAAAGTTAAGTTGATTCTCTGAAAGGAGTTCCAAAGAATAAATGGAATGCCAAATCATTAAGGTTGGATACTGACATGATTAATCTTCATACTCAAGTGAATTAGGATTATGATGGGGTGTAATCCAAATTAAAATAATTAGAATATCAAAATTATCTTTATATTCCTGTCTGTAATACTACTCCAACATAATCTTAAAATTGGGAATAGCGTTAAGACAAAGATCAATTGTTAAGTCATGAAAATGATGTTTTGAAGTACTAATACATTCTCATGGTTAAGTCATAAGATGAATCTAAATTTATGAAGACTTTATTGAATGATAACAATAAATAATCAATTGAAAGTTAAAATTTCTATTAATTGAACTCCAAGATTTGCAAAAGAAAAAGCGATTATCTAAATGACAAGAAGAAATATCATGATAAATTTGATCAGTTTGATCCTTATTTTCTACACACTGTTAAAAGAGATTTAAAAGCATTGTCATAAAAAAGATAAGAAATCTTTATAAAAAAACAAAAGTTAAGAGAAGATTTTAATAGGGAAATAGCTGAGAAAATGCAGCTAACAAAAGTACCTATACAAAATAAGGAAGAAATTATGAAGGGCATTTAAGCCTCAGCTTCTGAAAGAGACATGAAGTTAAAAATAGTTCAATAAAAAAAATAGGATAATTTTGTAGAGAAGATTCATCATATTCAATAATAAATCTAAGAGAAATCTCCAGAATTTAGATTCAAAAAAAGATTAGAAATTATAAGATAATAATAGAACATGTAATTTTTTAGAATGATCTTGACTTATTTCAATATGGAAAATATCTAATAAATGATGTAGGATACATCTCAAAGAGGTTTAGAGTTGAAACGATTAATGTTTAAAGAGCACATGAAAGCTCGAGTCATCTAAAATACAATTAGAAAAAGAAATGTAATTAAGAAAATTAAATTGAAATTAGGTTTAAGATAAAAGAAGATTTTGTTATCATTCATTTTTAGATTCAAAATTCACTTTAGGATTAAATCTAAGTATACACATATAAGAAAAATTAATTTATTTCATCTAAAAAGTTCTTTATTTATTAAGTTTAGAGTCAACTTATAAACAATCTTGACAAAAACATAATCACTTTAAAGTTTTTGTAGATGGTATAATCATAACTTTTAAGTTCAATTAAGTTATCTTAATTATAAATGGGATGAATATTTGAAATAAAGTTTCAAAGGCTAAATGACAGAAAAGGAGAAGGAAGAATTAAAATAATTTGAATTACCTGATCTTATGGATAAACAATAGAACCTTTTGAAGAAATTAACTACTCCATAAAAGTAGTTAAACTGGAATGATTTTAAATTTAAATTAAGACCAGTCTGTAAAGCTTCCGAATTGAGAACAAACTTGTTAAGAAAAGTTAAGGCAGTAGTATAAATAGATGAAGAAATTAAAGATGTCGATCCTAAAATTCTTGGAAGAGTGTTCCTTCCCTATACTAGATATCATGATAATATAGCTCTTAGTGTAACAGCCAAAATAAGATTTGACTATCAAATGATGATACAGTTGTAAGTTCATGAAAAAGTATTCATGGAGGAATTGGTAGTAAAATATGAGATTCTTACACAGCATCTTGAAAAAATTAGAAGAGAATTCATTCTGTAAATGAGAGATGTAATCTATCTATACATTATTTAAGTTCTATGCAAAATTAAATGACTATAAAGAAACCCATAAGCAATAGATAAACATAGATAGGGGAAAACTAATGATGCGATTTAAAGCTGATGGTCCTGAAATTAAATAATTGAAAATTAAGGATGATTAAGATATTAAATAAATTTTACAAAAAAGAGAACTTTCAAGGAGAAGAAATGGATAAAATTCTATAATTTTTAAAGATATTATTTTTAATAAAATTCGCCAATTACCATAAGATTAGTAACCCTTTCCTAATTTAATTATAAAATTAACTGAAAACATGTGTTCTGACACAAAACCAAAATTTAAGATGAGATTAAATCAAAATGAATGGTCTAGGCTATTTAATTAATATCAATCTGAACTCAAACACAGATATCTTACTATAATGAATGAAGCAAGAAAAACTGCAGCTCTTAGAATGAAGAATCTAAAACATAACAAATTTGTTAAAAAGAAAAAGACCTAAAAAACAGATTAATGATTATATATATTATTTGATAAACTAATTTATCATATTAACTATATCTTCTGATTAATCTTAATTTTATACTTAATATGAGAAAACTAATATAAGATTTGTCAATTGATAGTTTTGGGTGGTATAACAAAACCAAGTTATCGGGTTAGAAATAATAAATTTTAATAATCGTAATCTCATAAATGAATACATTTGTAGATTCAAAATATAATATTAATAATAATATTATTTCAAGCCTCCTCTTAAGGTTATTTTGATTGCTCAATTTATTCTTAATTCTCATTATTTTCTGTCTAGGGTTCTTACTATTACACTTAGAGTTTTTATTCATCCTGCTATAGTAATTATTCATCCTTTTGTGGTAATTATTCTTCTTGTTTTGGTTATTATTCTTCATGGTTTTGTTACTATTCTTCTTGTTTTGGCTATTATTCTTCATGGTTTTGTTACTATTCTTCCTGATTTTGTTATTATTCTTCTTATTTTGGTTATTATTCTTCCTGGTTTTGTTACTATTCTTCTTGTTTTGGTTATTATTCTTCCTGATTTTATTATATTTATTCTTGATTTGGTTATTATTCTTCCTGATTTTTTTATTATTCTTCTTGTTTTGGTTATTATTCTTCCTGGTTTTTTTATTCTTAATTTAAATTCTATTCTTCTTAAATTTGATCCTTATTCTACTCATGTTATTCTTAATTAGATTCTTCTTTTTTTTCTGTTATTTCTTATGGTTGTTCTTCTGCTATCAATTTTGGTTATTATTCTGAAGCATCTTAAGTTTATTCAGGAACATTCTCATAATAAAATTTAAGTTAAACATCCGAAACATATACTGGTGAATCTAAAATTTATTCTTCATGCTTTTAAATTTATTATTCTTCTAATTACTCTAAGTTTTCTTCTTTTACTTGAACAACCTCTAAAGGTGCTTCCTTTTCATTTTCAATTTAAGCTTCTTCTAAATCGAATTAATCCGTTTGTTGATTATTATTTTGATATTAATTATCAGTTGAATTTTCTTCTTAGGAATCTTGTTGGGCTTCACTAGATTCAGCAGTTTGGTTATTAGTGGTTTAATATTAACTAGAGCCTGTAGGGTCAGGCCATAAGAGAGGAGGACTATACAAATCTACATTAACTTATTCTCTGAATCTTGGATTTATACCCAACAACCATACTTATTCAATTTAATTAACTACTTTTAATTCTTCGATATATTTCTACCATTCAATTTGAATATTTGCGATTGCAGTTTAGACAGCTTAATTTTATTCAAGGACTTTATTAGAATTAATATAATTTGTTATCTTAGTTAGTATACCTTGATACCCATGTTTTTTTTTCCTTTCTTCTATGCCATTATTTATTATGAGGAAATTCAAAAAATTTGTATCTTGGAATAGGAGTTCATGTAAATGAGGCTGTTTGGAATCTATAATTGCTACTATCATTTTGTCAAATAAAATATGCAATTAATTATTCGTTTAATAGTCAAGCACTAAATTAATTACTTATTAAAATATTTGTCCCTTTTAAAATATGATTGTTAATTCTTATCTCTAAAGTAACTACACAATTAATTGTATTAAAGCCAATTTTGAATCGCCAAGTGGTTTGACTGTGGCTCCATAGGTTGTTTAAAAGGATGCTCTCAATATATTCTATTGAATTAGAGCCTTGGTTGATTCATCTATTACAGGCTTATAAAGAGTAGAGAATTAAATATCGTAGTGTTTTTCTTCAAGCTATGACATTTTGTTATAAAATTCATATTGAACATTGAGTAAATTATACAAGGAACTATTTTAAGTATCGAAAGCTAAACTCATAAAGAACACTGGTTTTTCAACTGTTAATAAGATTTCTCTCAAAACTTCCATAGTATCAAGAGACATCAATGCTCTTTTATAAACTTCAATGAGTGATTCACATACATTTGTAATTATTGTATTTTAATGTGATTACCCTTTAAGGTATTTGAGTAATCTAGCTATTAAAAGTTGTCTCTCTTGTATAAATAACCTCTCCTCATGCTCTTCCTAACATGTGTCTAAAATGATCAATTTCTCAAATATTTCAGTAATATGTCTAATATTTGCATGCTTAAACAAATTTGATATTATTTCTGGATTACTTTTTAAATATTCCCAAAACTTAATTTATTAAAAACAATACATCATATCCTCTTTTATGAATTATTGCTGAAATAATCTTCGTAAAATACCCTGCTGATGTAATTAAGAGACTATCATGTTCTAATATAGAAAGAAGGTCAGGTAAAAGCTTCTATCTTAAATTTTCATTGTCATTTTGGAATTCTTAAGTTTAACTCTCTGTTGGCTAATCTTCTAGTGGATTTTGTATTTCTTCTTGGGAGATGTCTCCTTATTTTTCAAATAAGAAATTAATCAATTTCTCATTTTCAGAACCTAATATCTCGCTTATTAAAAAGGGATATCTATAAATTTATATATATATATTTTTTACTTTATGCATGTATTCCTATCTTACTCTCGATCAGTAACATCATTGGTGATGTAATAAATCATTTTAGAGTATTCATTTGGATGCTAAACAATGCTATAGAATAGTTTGTATGTAAATTTACAAATCAGCAAATTTTCCTGAACTCTAATTTTTCAATTCAGATAATATGTCCTCCTCATTCAAAATGGTTTCTAAGGTTAAGTTGTCTTATTTTAGCAATGTGTCCATTTTAGATTAGATTCCGAATCCAAAAAATCGACCAAAACTACTATAAAGTTAAGATCATACTTTAAAAACATGAAATGATTTTATTAATTTTATTTAATTATTAATAATGCATAAAATTAAATAGACTAAATAGTGTGCTTAATGTGAAGCTATGGATCCCTCATATTCATTCGGATGTTCATATTTAATTTATTGATAGAATGTGAACATCATTTCTGTAAGGACTGTTTCAAGCAGATATTAACCAATACTGTGTAATCTAAGAAATCTAAATTTTAAATTAAGTGCCCCATTGATTCATGCAAACACCAAATCGACCTAAAAGAACTACTAAAATATTTGACATTGCCGAATACATGTAAACGTTGTAATTTAGAATAATCCTATACTTGCGGTTAATGTGTCGTAAGAGAGATAGAGGAGATAGCAAAAATCAATTATTATTCTAAATTGCTAAAATTTGAAACCCTAGTTAATTTGGAAACATAAAAAGAACTGAATGAAGAAATCTCAAAGCTTGAATTAATTTGTCCAGTTTGTAGAGAATTCAATTAAATTCCAATTATAGTTTGTATGTAAGGTCATGAAATTTGCAAAGATTGTTATTATAATATTAGGAATATAGAAGATGTGAGACAGGCATGTCCAATTTGTAAATAAGAATTATTACAAGCACCTCCAAATAGTTTGAGAGCATAGGTGTTAATAAAAAATTTAAGTATAAAATGTCCTAATGATAATTGCAAATAGGTAGTCAAGTATCCAGAATTTGTTTAGAATCATTATCGAAATTGTATTAGATTTATGTTACTATTAAATTAGGTTGCGAATAAAAAATAGAATGCTAAGATTGCCATGAAAAGGTTGAGCAATTATTTTAAGATATTCATCATTCAAATTATTGTACAGGAAATGTATGTCCATTTTATTGTTCACGGAAGTTAGGAGTACTAATTTACATTAAGATAAGGAACATTAAACTAATTTTATTATGGAGCATATATAGTCGACAATGAGATAAAGCGATGTTGCACATTCATTTTTGGTTCGTATGCAAGTTATTGAGAAATTCTTATTTAGAGGCTCGTTTGGCAGCTGTCCATAATGTGAATTATAGTATGCATGGTAAGTAGATGTTAGAGGCATCCAATAGACATTTTGTTTTTATTGTTTTCAATTTACAGGTTGATTATATTATATAAATATATTAATGAAAATTAACTCTGAATTAATATAAAGATCACATCATTTTATAAATCCATTAAATAATAGATAACTTGATCTACGAGGTATTGGAATTTAATATAAACTTTTAGCAAAGAAATTACAGCCATTGAAAATTTAGGAGCCAAATGGGTATCAAGATTCTTTTATGTTGGAATTTTTTAATCACATTGATTTAGGGGATAATGATATCAAAAAGCTAGGGAAATCTCACCTTATTGAAGAGGCATGACCATTAATCACTTTTATCTAAGACTCAAGACTCTGAATTTATCCAAAAATTGAATCATTAAATTGACAGATGTATCTGATTCATTACCCAATAATGAAAATTTAATCTTGATAAATAAAAGACTAACTGGTTTCAGTTAATTTAATTAAAGAATTGTAAAAAGCTTAAGCATTTAAATTTGTATGGGAATCTCATAACTCAACAGCTTGATTATAAATATAAAGTTATTGCAATTTTACCTAATTTAATAATACTTGATTTCAAAAACATTACACAATAAGTAGTTAAATTAATAAATTCAAATTAGGAAAGACAAACAGCTGAAGAATCTTTCAAGCCTGATGAATTCCTGATAATATGAATTTAATTAATTTGAAAGATACTAGTTTAGACAAAGAACATATAAAAAATTATTGGGTAATGCTAAAACATTTGATTAAATTGACTAATTAGAGGTGGTGCTCAAATAATAATAGGTTAAGAACTCATCCATTTTTATTGAGTAATGATGAGTTAAATATATATATATTAATAATAATAATTAATTTTTAATGAATTCAGAAGGATTTGTTAGCCTTATGATGGAAAAAGATGATTCTTATTAATTTTAACCTACTGAAAATAAATTTAAAATAAATAATGACGATGATTTTTATAGATAATTAAGTTAAGAGTTTTATGGTCAATAAAATTCATCCTACTTTAAAAAAAACATAAACCAAATAAAAACAATCGACGCCCTGAAATATAAATCAAGGCCTCCATTCTAAACAAGTGAATCTTAAAAATCCCAGTATTCGTTTACTAATCATTAATAATCATAATAAATAATACAATAAGTAAAATAAATATTTATAATCATTTTAGAAGATCTATAAATTATTTACTAAATAAACTCCATTTCAATAGACTTTGAATAAATAGCTTGACAAATCAACATACAAAGCTAGAAATCTCTAAGACATATCTCCTTAATTTACTTTTAAACTCAATATCTCAAACTCTTCCAAGAACTTACTGTAACAGCAATCTCCCCAAATTAGCTACCGATCTAAGTTCAATGATGAAGATTACTAAGGTTTCTAATAATAAAGTTCTCATAGAAATACCTTGAATAGTTGTGATAAAACTTTTAAAAAGTAAGATAAAGTATCTGACATCTATTATCCTTTAAAATTAAATCCATATAAAGGTAAAGAGATTGGAAATTTGTTTCAGTTATCATTTAGAAGTAAACAATGAATATTACACTTAATTTAATTTTCATATTTTGTACTTAGTTAATGTATTTAATATAATATTAATTATGAAACATTAAATCAAATATCCTAACCTACTTCTTGAATACTATATCTTATGTAATCTTTCAATTATTTGATTCTTTGAATGATTCTCAATGGAATCATCAATATCATCGTTCTTGCATCAAGCATATTCTTAGTAAGAATTAAATTCAAAGGAAGCCAAAACAAAAAATAAATCACAATTAAGAATACTAAAAATACTATGAAAATAGCCAGTCTTTGCAATTTTAAAGTATTTAAATCATTCTTGAATCCTAGAATAAATTTATTTGTTAAATATCTAAATGCATCTAAATAAATTACATTAAAATTACTTTTAAAATACAAGTGTTAGATTTCTCTATTCTCTTAAGCTTGTACAAAGTTGTTTAAATTCAGTATAAAATTAGTACTATTGTCACTCGTTTTGGTAATATTTCGGAAACTCGAGAATCCACGAGCCAAGAGAGTAAAGTTTGCTGATGGATTACCGTAGAATTGATTATAGATAGTCATCAAATATCTTTGGTTTTCTATAAATCTTGGTATTCCTACATTAAGACCCTGGGAGAATGCTTTGTCCATAAATTAATTACAGAGATCAACATCGATCTATTAGTCTTATTCATTTAATATATCACAAGGATTATATACATATAAAGATGTAAAAGCATCAATATAAGCTGAATCAAGCAACTCAATATTTTAAGAATGATATTCTTAAAAAATGGAATCATGGTTGAATAATTCATCTATGTTATGCATCACGTGGTCGTAAGGATCAGAATTCAAGATATTCATATTTCTTGAATAAAACAAAGACTTTTAACTTATTTCTGAAAAGCGAAAGTAGGATTCAGTTCTTGCTGTTAAATTAAATTCAGAACAAACACTTTCAATTTAATCGACCTATGTTTTACTGAAGATAAAGGCTAAAATGAAATAAAATTAAATTAGGAGCATAGTAATAATGATTGCATAGATATGATAATTATCTTCACCACTATTATTTTTAAATTTCTTTTTTGTTCTTTTGGTTTTTAAAGTATTTTGTAATTGATGATGATCACGCTTCTCCTCTTGATCTTAATTGCTATCATTCTCAGATGTAAGATCACCATCTTCCCCTATTTACAGATTTGATAAGAAGTTTTCACTTTATCTATATAAATATCTAATAGTCTTGTCTGGTAAATTCAGAAATAATTGTAAAATTTCAGTTTGTGATTTTGAGACCGACAACATTGCAATGACTATAAGCAAAATACCAATACTAATTGTTGAGATTGATATTAGTAAAAGTAATAGAATTGCTGTGTACTTTTTGGAGGCATTTGTAATGAGATTGTCAATAAAATAATTAGAAGATTATTTTAAAGACTAATATATATCATTTAGTAAGTTATAATTTACAAATGAAACATCTAAATCTTAATAATTAAATTATGAGATACTCTTATCTTTAAGTATTAATGACTTACTAAGAATTTATTAGATAGCTTAATTTAGGTTATATAATTGAGTAGTTTCTTAATTCTATTTTATTTTGATATTAATCAAATTGTATTCAAATTCAAACGCTGAAGAAGTCATACTGTCTACCAGTAGTAGAATTTACTAATTTATATCATTTATCATCGAAATTGAATCGTTAATGAATTATTTCTATTGTTATTCATACTAGGTAGCTTGTGTTTTATTCATATTGAAAACATTTCTACTTAAGAGTTACAAATTTAAGACTGAACTTAATATGATGCCTAATTCACTATTTCTAATATTTCCTTGATTTGCTAAAAGGATTGTATCATAAATTTGATCTGACTGTGAATTCGATATAGAATAATCAATAATAGATAATGTTAGTATAATAAGGGCAATAATGTTAGCTATCCATGTGACTCTGACTATGGCCTTGGGTATGTTTGAGGAAGTAATGATTTTTTATAATTTCTTCCTAGAATGAAATATATTGTTATCAAACTCATATAACTATGATTAACTTGATTTAATTTCAATCTAATTTTAAAAGACACTTTCTCTTTCATCATCATCAGAAAGTTAACTTTCCTCATCCTCTACCTCTTGGAGTTTATTATCAAATAATCTTAAAGTTCTAATATTTTCAGAATAGTCTATTATGACTTGGAATCTGTCTCCAAATCTTGTTGATCTACGTCTACTAGACTCTTTATGTGTATGCTCATTATGATGATTATTTTAAGATTCAAAGGAATGATCCACTGAATTTGATTAAATGCTGTTGGATAATTTTGAATTTTCTTCTAAAATGAAATCCCCTAGATAAATCTATTCATTGATCATATATTTAAATTATAAATTCCTTCCCCCTATTTTTTTAACAGATGATAACTGTTATTATTACTAAGTGTCATTAATCAATTCTAGCTTTACATAATATCCTGTAATTTCATTAACTGAGGCATTCATAATTTCTCTTAATATGCAATTAAACTCGAGTTCTTTTTCTAAGGCATTTATACTTGAAAGAGATTAATGGACTGTTCTTTTGAGATTATCAGGAAAATATTTGAGATGACCTCCTAATCTGGTTTTACATGTTTCCAATTCATCAAGGAAATCTGGGAACAATTACTAAAAATAAGCCTTTTTTTGTGTTAAATGTCTGTTTTCAATTCCAAAGAATGAGAATACAGATGCAGACATAGAATCGATGACGTATTCATTATCCAAAATAAAATAACAAGTTGGTTTAAATGATTTAACGGTTATAAATTGAGCTGCTAGATTTACATTCTCCTCTAGTGTATGCAATATTCGCAAAACTATATAACAAGGAATTAAATAATTTTATTTATCCTTTAAAAAGATGAATCTTTCTTTATTGATATTCTTTATATCACTTGTAATTAAAAATCTTTACATATAGTGATCATGAAATTTTGTATACAAGTTTGGCATAAATAAACTGATTTTTCTGTTTATTATTTCTTATCTCGTATAGCCAATCAGTCTACAGCATGATTGATTCAAAGTTATCACTTAGGCAAACTTTTCTACTGAAGTTGATACAATCACAGTAGCTTATGACTCAAACCCAATATCTTCTCCAGATATGAAAGTTACAACTTACTTTTTGCTTTATTAATATTGCAATGAATTTAGGACTGATTGTTTTAACATTTCATCACCATATTCTTCATCCTAAATAACCTCCTTTATAAATGTTCCATAGAGTCTTAAAGCTTTTGATAGGTTCTAAGTAGTTTTTTCAATTTTGAACCACAATTATTCAATTTAAAGAAGTAGCTTGCTTACTTTTTAACCATTTTTATAGAGTTTCTAAAAATCTGGGAAATCTTCTTGTAATAAAGACCAAAAATCCATTTAGATAAGGGTTGTTTCTTCAATTAATTACTGAAGCTATCGATAATTATTCTGAAATGTGATCTCAGTTTCTGTATCAACCTTCCCGAAGTTTTCATTCTAAAAAGTATCTAATTGTTCTTAAATTTAGGACCTTTTTCTCATTATTATGAATTCCTCATCAAATTATAAATTCATTTATTCAACTTGCTTTAATTCATTGTACGCCTATTGTAATTGTCTCATATAATCCGATAAATGATAGGCATATTGGATTCTCAATTATATTGATTCTGGGAATCTTTTGATCTAACTATTATAAATCTATGCTAACACACAAATTAAATCAACCTCTCTTTCGGTTAAGGATGAATCCCTTAGCAAGGTATTACTTAATTTTATATTTGCTTAATTCTTCACTTTCAAATAACAATCACTTTAAACACATGTGCCTTTATGGATTTCTAAAAAGGCATCAATAATTATTTAAGTATTATCATCAAATTTAATTAAATTCAGTAGTTTCATTAAGTAATTGGTCTAATTGATTATATCCTCCACTTATTTGACTTTTGAATGGTTTATTAAAAGGAGATCGAAATTCAATTTTTCTATTCTTAAAATTGAAACTGCAAGTATTGGTAATCCAACAAGAAAAGTATAAATAATCCCATTAAAATAACGTTATTCCAGAACTTTTGCACAACTTAGCAGTAGGATTCCCCAAAAATTCAATCCAACACAAATTGACCAACACTTTTGTATGATCATAGAGTTAAATGGTTAATCCATATGAAATTTTTTTAATAAAATTAAACTACCTATCAATATTATTATTATTTCCAAATACTAATATTTTTAATCTTTTATAAGTCTTATTAGAATGATCACAATTGATTGATAGGTGTACAAATATCCTGAAATCCTTCCGTTTTATTATGAGTTTGCTTAATCAGACATAAATTTCGATTCATAATAAATTCCTCCCAAAATCATACAAAATCCATAAAAGATTAAAAGTATAATAATTGCGATAATTCCATGAAGTATATGTGCACCTACCCAACATTATTAATCTGTAAAATAATAATGTACTTAATTTCCATTTCCATCTTCCTAGCAATCTATAATTGATATGAATATATCGATGAATGGAAGAAATAAAATTGAAAGGAACAAATTTATTATAATCTTCAATATCAATAGTATCCAACTATTTTCCTCCTTCCTTTTCCTTATATTAAAACCTATGAAACAGGCTAACATATTCATAATCACAAAAGCCCCTACACAGACATAATGAATGATCATAAGAGACGAATAATCAAGTGTTATTGTATAAGGAGAAATAAGAAAATACCTAATATTTGTCAAATATTTTATACTATAGAAAATCGTGAATTCCTTGTGAAACATGATAATTCTTCCAAATTCTCAAAAAATTCTCACCAAATAATAGAGATGCTAGCTGGAGATATTGAATAAGGATAACAAAGCAATTTATTATTATTGGTTATTGCTCTCCGCCAAGTAATTGAAGTGTAATTGTAAAGATTAATTATTTTGCTCTGCTCATAAACAATGATAAGCAGCCACTTTTCTTATTGCTCA